TATTTATTAAAAGCGTATAATATTGTTGTCCCACCTTTGAACTGAATCAACTCTTCTGGAAAGGATTTTCTCATTGTGTTGTAGTTTGTAAACTGGATTTTTCGGACCATTCTTCCTGAAACCAATTTGTGAGGTCAGACACTGATGTTGGATGAGAGGCATTGGCTTCACTCTGATCAAAATTCAACAACATACAGGCCAGTTAAATTTTTCCACCCAAATTTCATGCGCCCAACCACATGGGCGCATGAAATTGTTCAAAATGCCTTGTTATGCTGAAGTGTAAAATTGACTTTTTTGAGTTTTACATCAACCTATAATGTTGTTCCGTCACCAATAAACATACATGGAGTGTTGCCTTGATTTTTTCATGCATGTTTGAGAAATCCTTTAATCTCCCATAGCAACCATTTAGCTGTGTGCAAAATATCAGGGTGGACCTTGCACCGCTTTGGTAACGAATATTATGAAATGCACAAGGTTGATAATGTTGAAATACTTCTTTAATAATCATTTGCATTCTCATTTAAAAATGAAATACCAAGCCTGTACCAAATGTCAAAGAAATTACTAGATAGGTCAATGGCCAACTATTATAATCCACAGGGTCCAAATGTTCTATTAGCCTGCCCGGATGCCAGACCCACCTCAACTTCACGGTATTTCAGCATGATAAAAGCTTTATTAGCTGGTGTAAAGAGATCAAAGCTCTCTGTGAGTCAATCCTTTTTGACAGGAATAATCTATGTAGTGATTGATGTCAGTAACAGAAATGGGTGTTTCACATTCTCCCAGACTAAATTACAGTTCAGACCTGATCAGTCACATTTTACGTAAGAAGCCTCATTTCAGTCTACGAGTGTTTCTTCGTTGTGCAAGAGTCAGTGGGAACTTTCGCAAGATTTTGGATTTTTAGAAGTTACAACTGAATCAATAGATATTTTGAATTCAGAGCTTTCAGGCATTACATTTGTTGCTTCTCTGGGTTAAGGAATGTTTGTTGCTCATGTGTCATCTGACTGCCCTGACTGGTTGACTAAACAAAGCTTTGCATCAGGATCCTGCACAGTAATTGACAAAGTCAAACTGGTTGCCTCCAGGCAGTGAATGTTTGGTGGTGCATAATAATGTGTCCTTTGCGTGACAATCAAAACATGTTAGTTTGTTCTAGCGTGGATTGCAATCTTTTTAAACCACTGATTGTTACTAAATCCAGCTCACTGCCGATTAAAAACTCCAGCACCAAAGGACCAAATAAAAGTTAAAATTCAAATTCATAAATCTGGGCATGAATATGCAAATCTCAAACATGGGCATCAAGAGGTTTATTTTTTATTGACAGAAAGATACTCAGTGTTGATCCCTGCTGAGACAGTGAAGAGGTTTAAGAACAACAATGAAGAATGATAAACACCATGTTAAAAATCAGGTCTTAAAAACAAAACGCATCTATAAAGCCACAAATTAAAGCAGTGGTTTCAAACTACAGTTCTCAAGGTCCAGAGTTCTGCAATGTTTAGATGTGTCATCTCTCGAATTAAATGGTGAGATGGATGTATTCAAACTCTACTGAGCTCTTCCAGTGTTGAACATCTAAAAGTTGCAGGATACCGATCGCTGAGAAATTTGAGACCACTGCTTTAAAGTCTATGCTGCTTTTAGCAAAAGACATTTATCAGTGATCAAAAAAAGATTAGTGGTTTGTAAACATGGGGGAAAAAAACAATTAGCAAAATCAGAAAATACAATTCTACATAAAAATAAAGAGCCAACATGAAAGTTTGAGCTCAGTTGTCTTTAGTTATTTATTTTTTAAGTAGTTGCTAGATTTTATGTTCTGCGTTGTTCTTTGACCCCTTATTATTTGACTAAATAGGTTATTACAATAATATCGTAATATATTTCGTGTATAGGAATATCTATTCATTTCCTCTCCATTGTATATACTTTTATAAAATTATATAATTCTTCTATAAAGTCGTTATATACTGTGGTATATAAACAGTCTGTCTTTTATGCATCACAGTCAACACAGACTGTGATATATAAACAGAGCCATGATGCCACCTTCTGGAGGAAAAAGTCAAGATGAGACGGAAGAAATAAATGTTTTAAAATGCATATGGTTTGGTTTCACACTGACTTCACGATTTGGTATTTTTCTTATATGTAACAATTTTTTTCAGCCCAAATAATTCTATCAATCTCATGTTTTATTTCATATATGTCAGATTATATCCTCTGCTCCAGAGAAAGAAATGTGGATGAAAGCCCTAATCAGCCAATATTTTAGTTTCTCCATTTCATGAACACTGAAAACTAATAATAACCATATTTGTTTTATTTACCAAACATGAACAAAGTGTGTTTAAAATGACTTAGACTCACACAATACAATTATTTTTCAAATTTAATAAGGCAGATGTCATGCTCTTTAAATTATCAAGTGTTTGTGATGCCCCCCCAAAAATAAATCAACATATACACAGATCACAGAGCAAAAGTGTCTTCAACTGTGAAATGTTTTTATGTTCTGGCTTATCAAGGTCTCATTTTTCATGTGTAAGAATTACAGATGTTGAACCAATTATCAAATGCATTAAAGACTTGTAAAGAAATAGCCTTTAAGAAATTCAAGAACCTTTGAAACAGAAGCTAATTTTAGCATCTTTATTGGTTAAACAGGCACATTATCTCACAGTGCCAACAAATCCTTGTATCTTTTCTCTCTGACTTTAGTTTTTCTTTACAAATCATTTCAAATAAATAAATGAAATGTGCTGATTGCCAAATAGTAAAAAGTCTTTCAACATTAAACAGCAAATTAAGAACTACTTCCTTTCATACTTCAAAATAAGAGGCTGAAACATAATTACATGATATCAAACTATTGAAAAAAACATACTGTTCGATTGTCCCAAGACCTCACACCACCAGACCCGATCAGCCTTTACATTTTAGTAATGTTTTAGAAATTTTCAAATTTCTTTTTGTCATTTATGGGGTCGATAATAACACAAATTCAATATTCTTCATTGCACTGTCTAACCAATAAAAAAACAAGACTGTAATGTTTTTGGTACTTCTTGCTTCACATCTTGGTTATTTTTAAAATAATGTTCGACATTATTTATCAAAATAAGCTGATCTGAACTGAATTCATCCATTGAACGGTTATATAACATAAAAAGCCGGAGGAATCGTTGTGAACCAGCACTGCACAGTCACAGGAGAGGGAACACTGTAGTCAGTTGCTAATGAACTGAAAAATAAAACAGGAGTTTAAACACAGTCTGATTGTTGCTCTAATAGATACATTTAAAAATAACTTACCTGAACACCTGTCTATCAAATCTGCCTGGGATCTTCAGTAATGGTAGGTGTGGTTGTGATACTACCGTAAAATTAGCTGGTATCGAAGCTACAAAAACCAGAACAAAAATAACACAAGGTTGTCAAAACTTTGGCACTTTAAGCATCATGAAAAATTTACAGGGGTGTAATTTCAAAGAGCCAAATGGCAGGAAACATTTATAAAATTAACAGCTGGAAAAAAAATGTTATTAAACAAAACAAAAATTAGTATTTGACACAGAAGGGAAAACATTCTCACCTAGAATCCCATCAATGTTGCTGGCAGACGGTCTCTTTTTTAAAACAGGCCAAAGGAATTTGTTGCCGTCCCTCTGATGAACTAAGACAACGATGTGCAAGTCTTCTGCTAAAACATCTGTTTCTTGACCTCGAACAGTCACTGTAAAACTAGAAGAGGAAGAGAAAATCACAACCAGCTCTTACGTTTGGGTGCTTTTCCTTCCTACACCTTCAAAAAAGTGGGGATGAAACCCAAGGCATGCATGCTTTCCATATATCCTATATGAAACATTACAACCAATGAAAGGAGGTTTTTATATTGTCTGGTATGGAAATGTGGTTATGTAAGATTGATGTATAGCAACAAGAGTTCATTCATAGTTTAGTTTGATCAGGGATTTTAATCTCTTATATTTTAAATCAGAATTACCAATAAAAACTTTCTTGCTTTAAATTTATAGTTGAGAACAATATAGATAAATGAATTAAGATTATTTGATAAAACCACAAGCATGATTCTTATCCATGACAAAAACACAAAGCAACAGAGCGCTCGCTCAGAGAGACATGAAATGTAAAATGGTCTTTAATTGCATTTTGACTGCTGGGATCTTAATGCTATTTCTATCTGCTGTGTATCTTTGTGTACGTTGTAATCTGGCTATACGTTACATCTTGAGTTACTTCCTGCTCTTTCTCCTTATGACACCTCTTAGTTTGTCAATCAAAGCCTCATCATGCAGGCCATAGGCTCCTCATTTCCTCTAGTCCTCCACCCTCCCATACTTGACTCTTTACTCTGTACTACATAGTCCAACACTCTGACTGCTCTGCTGTATTATTCTTATCATTCGCCCTGTTCACTTCTTGTCCTTTTTCTCACATGTTAAAGGTGAGACATTTCCAGCTACATCCTGTATAATAATAAACATGTTCATTTAGGATCTTAGTTAAGCCGCTCTACCAAATTAAGTTCCGATGCTTCAGCTAATAACCAGTAAGTTGGACCAATCTGGGCTCACAACAATAAACACATCAATCTGCAGCTTTGTGATAAAAATATATACAATTGTTGAGTTTTTGGCAAAAACCAGATATGCCTATAATAAGATCAGGGTCAGTCATAAACAATGCTGTGCTAATCTAAAGGACACCACCAGTTGTGGTTCTGAAAACATTTAAACTTGTACATTCATGGTCACCTTCCATCTTGGATGAGATTCTGTCCAGTGAGCCGGGTCATAGTCGTTCCATTCAGGACCCTGACTCCCTCGGGGTCGATGTCCAAATAATGGTTTTGAATTTGGATGAACATTTTTTTGAAGCCCCCATTTGTCACTGGATTAAGCTCGCCATTTATGTATATCCCTGATTTGAAAGAAATAAGCTGAAAGTTAACATTGAATCACAAGTCCAGCAACAAAATGAAAACTCAAACCTCAGAGACAGTTAAAGATTCTTCAGGTGCATGCTGGCAAAAATAAATGACACTCACTCTTGCTGGGATGATGAAAAAGTTTAAGAACATGAGATCCACGCAATTCAAAGCAAAGGGCGGCAGAGTGATTCTCATTTTTGATCAGGAATCGGTGTCTGACATGGGCTGATAGGGAGACAGAGAGAACGTTAAACAAATCTGTGAGCTTCCCGAGCTTTTCCACATTTTGTCACATTACTACCACATTCCTCAACGTGCTTTGTGATCTGATGTGATATTTTCTCACAGCTCCATACATGACTGTGAGGTGAAAGAAAATTCATACATGATTTTCTATTTATTTATTTTGCAAATCTGAAATTGTGATGCTCCTTCATAATTAGCCCTGTCTAAGTTGATGCTTTTCCAGGATATCTGAGTATATGTTTCTACTAGATTTGCACATCTGGAGTGAATTTTTTGCCAATTCCATTTGGCTCGATAGCTCAGTGTTCCTACATTGTGTTATAACCTAACCCTTCTTTAAGCATCTCCACAACCTTCTGACTGGCAAATTTATTTGTGTTTATTTTCTTTCACTTCACACTTGTGTTGCATTTCCTGTTGCTCCACTACATTCTCACTTAGGATCTTACATGCAGTGGAAGTTTGACAAAAAGCTGAAAGGTAATTTTGGCAAATTCACACTCAAGCTTACACATAAACTATTTCTATCTACTTTCTTCTTTTTGGACAACTGACTATAAGTATATTTTTAACCATTTCTCAATACTGAATGCCATGATCGACATCATAATGTAATACACACTGATAAGGTGTTTTGGAGCAATATATTCTTTGAAAATAATGACGGAAATGTTCTTACTTGTCATAATGTAAATGTCATTTTGTACATTGATCAAGTTCTTACAAAGTGAAATTCTGAAAAAAATGCAAAAAACTTGCAACACAAGAAAAGTATCATTTGCCTTTTGTCTATCTGATTGGTACATTTTTCTCTTCAGAAAATACAACTACAGATGCTAAAATTGAGTTTATCAGTAAACAGTAGTACATTTTGTTTGGTGTTTAAAACAGAGCTAATATATGTGACATGTGTGCCACTAACATGCATTTCTGGAAAACCAGAAAATTCAACTGATCATCAGCAATTGATGCTTTTCTTCTCGAAGGAACCTAAAGACTTGGTGATGATCAAAATCAAAGAGTTGAAAATAAAACTTTTCCCATGTCGGGATTTGGATTTCTTGCATTTTCTGTCATGATTTTATTGTTGTTTTATCTGGAAACTATCAAAGACATTCTAAATAATGTCAATCATTTTTTTTAACTTCATGGCATTCATACCATACCCACCAGAAGGACCAGAAGGACCTGAAGGACCTGAAGGACCTGAAGGACCTGAAGGACCTGAAGGACCAAAACCAGGAGGACCTGGAGGACCAAAACCAGCAGAACCTGGAGGACCAAAACCAGCAGAACCTGGAGGACCAAAACCAGGAAGATCTGGTTCTCCAATTCTTCCTGCTTCTCCAGGAAGAGCTAGTCCTCCAAAACCAGGAGGAGGTGGAGGATGAAAACCAGCAGAACCTGGACGACCAAAACCAGGAGGAGGTGGAGGACGAAAACCAGCAGAACCTCGACAACTAAAACCAGGAGGAGGTGGAGGACGAAAACCAGCAAAAACTGGAGGACCAAAACCAAGAGGAGGTGGAGCACCAAAACCAGCAGAACCTGCAGGACCAAAACCAGGACGAGCTTGAGGACCAAGTATTACTATAAAGCTCAACAGTCTGTCAAAAATTCTTAGAAAAATAGTAATAAAGGTATAATTTTCACTGATTTAATAGGGTGGTTTTTTGGGGAAGTTCTTTTTTCTCTTCCTTACATTTGCACTGCAGGAATCATGGCCAAATTACGCAAAGTGGGAAGAAAACTACAACTAAAAAAGATCCTGATAAGAAGTTAGTGATGCTTGGATGGACTTGGAATAAGCATAGGAGTTTTGCAATGATAAAATGAAAAAATGTTTAAATGAAACATTTTCTTTAACAGTTAATTTTAATGTTTAAGAAAATGTTTACGTTGAGTCTTAAATGTTTTCTGCCAGACGGTAGATGGCAGATAAACAATTTTCCTGTAAAGGTAAGATTTTCCTCCAATGCTACACCTCCAATGATTGACAATGAAAGTATAGATGGCAACAAAGAAATCAAAAGTAAGGAGCCAACAGGAAAAAAAGAAAGGATGATAGAAACTGGAACGAGAAAAACTGAGACAGAATGCATCAATAATCTGTTTTACAAGGTAAATGTTAACTAATTTTCCACTAGCTACAAAGTGCAATGAATGGGGGTCCATTGAAGAGGATCCTGCCCCAGGCCCCAGATACTGTATCATCTGACCTGAAAGCCAGTAATATATTAGTACTGTGCTGAGCAAACACATATGAAGAATTTATGTGTATTAAGAATTCATATTGTGCTCATATTGCACATCTGTGAAGATATTATAAAAACAAAAACAGGCATTTCCTGCTCTCATAGTCATTTACCCCATTAACAGTGCCTATACTGTATTTTTAAATAATTGAATGTTATTTTAACTGAAGAAAATTTAATATAAAAAAATAAGGCGATTAAAAGGTGACTCCAAACTTTTGGGAGTCATGTATGTTTTTGCTATTGCATTAAGACCTATTTAAAGAATGAAAAAGCAAAACATGATCTTTTCTTAGAATATTTATGAAAATTTGCTTTTAAAGTTGAAGAAAAATAAATAGATTTGAGAACTGACACCCTTTTACTTAACATTGAAAGATATTTTCAGAATTAAAAAGTAAATTAAAATGTTATCTGGAAATAGGGACATGAAGTCAAAAGACAAAACAGGGAAGCTGACTATATAAATTTAAATAAAGTAAATTGGATCATTTAAAGTTGTTCAAATAATGTTTAAAGTCTTTATTAAAATTTTGATTGATTTAAACCTAAATTTGGTCTTTTAGCTCATAATAAAGTTCTGTTTTGTTGCTTCCAACATTCACATGGACTGTACTTAACCCACCAGGAACATGAGAAAATCTGGAAACAGATGCCGCAGCTCCTGTGAAAAAAATGGATTAGGATATTAAAATGATTTTCATTTATATCCATTAGAAACTATCGCACCAAAGTCACCAAAAAGAACTGGAAAATAATGAATACTGAGAACAACAGATCTTCAGTAACAGGTCACGGTCAGCAGTGTCCAAGAGCAGCAGCTCTGTGGGACTGACTGTTTTTGATCATGACTGTTTTTAAAGCAGACATTATCTCTCACAAATAATAACTGTCACCTGAATCAAATCAGAAATCGGCTTAGCCTGAACAGACTTTCTGTAGACGGGACTGATCTCAGGCAAAAGAGAAAGTAGTTCTAGGTTACCAACACCTACTCATGGTAGTTCTGGTTGTGCATCGTTTAAGCTTCTTGAAGTATCTTGTATAAAATCTAGATTCTTGATGATTTTACCTTGTCCGTCTGTTATTTCAGAGCTGGATAATGAACACCTGATGACAATTTGAGTAAACCCTCCTCCATTGTTTAAGTTATCAGAAAAGATCAATCTTGATATTTCTCAGTGATTTCAACATTGATTTTAGTTGTAAACAGTAACAACATTGTGGTTTTACTTGTAACAATTTCTAAATATTTGTTGTGGTTAACCACAAACCTGCACAAGATTTCCTAAACAGTATCCCTGTTCATTCTGTTATATTACTCACTAAATTAGGCCATTTTATGTTTATGTTTGAAATACAATTTGTCAGGAGTTTGCTTTTATCACCTGATTGTAATTATTTAGGTGAGCACTCCTATTGCACTAGGTGATGTTTTACGTTTATGTTCATGATGTTGTATAGACATAAATAAAGTTTTTAATTTGAAAGGTCACTGGCAGCTGTTGCTGTTTCACAGCAGCATTACTAATGGCTTTCAATTTGAATTTTTCTAAATAGTTTTACCTGTTTCAAGTCAAATAAATTAAATGATTTTACTTAATTTTTGTCAGCTTGTTCTTGCAACATAGAATGACATGTTGGGAGATACCTGAACAAATCGAGGTGCTATCTGCAGTAATGTTTGTGTAGCTACTGTTTTTGTATCCAAGAGGACTTTAAATATTAAACTCCTTGTGGCTTTAACCCAAACCTGTTAATGTCCAAAATAACAATATTCCTGATATTTGCACAATATAAAAGCACAGCCATGTTACATAACTTCACTGCATTCAGATGAATGTACTGAATTGGTTTGGACTCCAGATTATCAGCTTACTGTTAGTCAATGACTGTGTTAAACATTGCAAACCATCCCTTATCATATCTGGAAAAAAACATAAAAAAGATAACAGAAAAAGAACTATACTTGTTTAGATTCAGACACAATGCACAACCTTCGAGCTGTGGTGTCTCACCCTCTTTGGGTTTGCTGAGGACGGACTCCTCCCCCTGAGGCTTGGTGACCACCATGGATGTGAGCGGGGTAACAAAGCTGTACTTCAGGGACAACTCCAACGCCTCTTTATTCACTTTCTCTTTCTCAGGTCCCAATAACAGCAGCCTGTATCACAGCATCTTGTCATAATTAGACATCATCATAAAGTGCAGCAAAAACATCAGAGGCCACTTTTATGCAAAATTGTTTAAATTAAAAGTTGAACAGAATAACAAAGAGTAAAGGTCCTTGCAACACATTTTTTCACAATATATACATTTCCTTTAACTGAAATAAAATGTTTTCCCTTTGAAAATATTTTAGGATTGTGCTAAAGATGATAAAAATGATAAAAATTTCAGAGCTTTTTATTGGTGATGTGAAAAAAATCTCACCGCTCATTAGTTAATTTTGAATTACAAGTTAAATGGCATTTTGCCTTCACATGAAGTAAAACCACTGATTTTCTGCTCTTAATGTATTTATAGCATTTCTAAAGTATCAATCAGCAATAAATACTAATCATCTACTGTCAGTCCATATGCATCTCATACCAGTTTCTAAGTCTCATAGACAACGCTTAAAGCAACTGTATTATATTTAAAACAGATTATTTTACATAATTTCAGTCAGTTACAATTTCATCGTCGTTTATTTATTCTTTCACTTTTCACCTCTTTAACAGTAAACACTTAAATAAACTGAAACTGAATCCTGATTCCAATATTAGAACAAATAACCAAAATAAGAACAGAGGAGGAGATATGTCTCACTTACTGTCTGTCCAGAAGCTGTTTCACCGTGAGGTAGGCCCAAACCCTCTGCAGAAGGTTTTCACTCACTGTTTCACTGGGACGATCCGTAGAACTACTTGTCTTAGAAAATGTCACTCTTCTGTTGGTCTGTCAGAAATATTAAGTATTAATGGTCGTCTTAGCTTTGTAGGACAGTGTAATTGTGTGCTGTGGGCTGATCCTTACTGAGTAAGCCACGACTTGCGGAGTGAAGGTTTCAATGTTGTTGTCGGTGACCTCACCGGCTACAACAATCTCAGAACCGTTGTAATACCGACTGAAATTTGTCTGGGTTAGATTGGACCCACCCACATAGATCATTGTCACGTCTGTTAACAAAGGAGTGGCCACTTCTTCATAGAAACCCTGTTGAATACACGGTTTGATGTGGAATTAATACAGAATGAATTTTAAATGTAAAAACAAAGTAAATGATTTGGCATAAGGATAACGGGTGAAATGGAGGAGGATACCTTGAGCTGTAAATCGGCATCAGAGTCTTCATAAATCCGTCTTGCCACACCATTGTTCTGCAGCGACATTTTCTCCAAAAACTCAAAATTGACATCAGAGCCAAAACCAAGGCAGTAGAGAGGAAACTTTTCTGCAATAGCTTCTCTGACATTTGACTGTATTTTTTCTAAGTTAGTTTCTCCTGAAAGAACAGAATACAGGGTAAGTTAGGCTCAAATTTTCTAAACAATCAAAGTTAGCATCTGAAGGTGGGATAAACATATAGGTATATATAGCATACCTGTAATATAAATATATACAGGTTTTAAATAAATATCTATGTAAAACCTTGTAAACAACATTGTAATAACGATTACAGGGGGACTGAACTCACACAGACATCAACAAGGAAATGATAAGAAATTATGACTATTTTATTATTTGACAAAGATTATGCATGAATAATGTTAGAAACTGTTTGCATTTAAGTTAAAGAATGTTATGACAGATCAAGATGCAAGATGCAGTAAAATACCATGTAAAAGAACTGGAAAATCTACGTCTGGGATCTTTTAGAGAGACCATTTTAGAACTGAGATTTAATTGTTTCAGGAAAGACAAATAAATTGCATAGATAACAAAATATGCTATAATATAGTCAAAAATATTAGGACAGCCCTTTAATTGTTCATGTACTTTCACTTCTAACCTATGGAAAGAGAATAAATACTGCAGCTGTTCTTATCCCTGTTTGTTAGAATAACCATAGACCCTGTTTGTAGGCATCTACAAATATCCGACGCTGATCTATAAACCTACTGCCCTGATGTAGAGATCACACACCCACTTTTATATTACAATATTCACAGTAGATAGGACATAATTGTTCTGTTAAGATTACTGATTATTCTCTTCGAGGGAGTTGGCTTGTCATCTTTAGCATTAACACACTGTGAAGTCTGCTGGTTAAACATTTATTTCATGTTGTATTATTTTTGTCTAACCTGCTGTAGGGTCTCCATCTGTGAGAAATATCAGGATGGAAGCTGAGCCTTCCCTCCTTTGTTCATTCAGCATGCGAGCTCCTTCCAACACTGCTTCATTGATGTTTGTAGCTGAGAAAGAAGAAATTATGTTTCTCTGCCATCATCAAGCAAAATGTCACATTATTCATCCATCACCTCATTAAGTGGACCCATCTATCCACTCACCCACCTCAGGCTGGGTTTTTTTTTTTTTCAGAAAAGCAGCTGTGCTACTAACTGCACAACTGTACAGCCTTGCATTATTCATATTTAGTGAAAGGTCATACCTCCTCTTTCAAAAATATTCCGTGCAAACTCCTTAGCCCTCTCCACATTTGAAGCAGTGGCTGGAACAAGTTCTCTATTCCAGTGAAATATGGCATCATCAAAACTGATGATACCAAAGAAGTCGCCTTCTGCCAGGTCATTTAAAATGTGGATCAAAGCCGTTCGGGTCTGAGACAGAGACACATTCAAAATATTTACAGTGGAGTTCTCTTAAGCGACAAATCACATAAAAAAGAGATGTATAAATACTTTACCTGTTCTATTTTTCTGCCATGCATTGAGCTACTTCTGTCGATAACAAAGACGACATTTTTTGGTATTCGGGGAAGGTTAGACGGAGCAAAGTGATGGACAAAGTAACCGTCTGAAATCTAATAGTAAGTAAATAAAAACAAAAGTTTGGAAAAGTTTGATGAAAAAAAGAATAAGAATTTGGCTCATATAGCGAATAGCTTTGAATGTAAAATGTAATAAAAAATAATTTTGTGGATAAAATTTGACCTTGATGTCTCCCAGTCCGCTGTCTTGGTTGACGTCATAAACAATGACCAGATCTCCATTCAAACCTTGTTTTCCACACCTCTCACAAGTTTCCTGTTGTTCCACAGTTGGATGGAAGAACACCGACGCCTGGAAGAAAAGAAAAGACAAATCTGATGTTGCACACTTTAAACATTATGATTTTAATTTAATTATATTTCTACTACTGCTTTAGTTAAAATGTTGATTTATCAGTTCGTTTAAAATAAGCATCATAATTACTGAACCACAATCACACAATGAAAGGTGAAATCTTTTTGTCAGCAGTTTTGTAACAGCTGAAAGTGTGTCACACTTCAGTTCTTGAAGGTCAGCGTCCTGCAGCCTTTAGGAGAGGCCATCATCCAAATCACCTCCAGTTAGAGAGTAGAAACGCCTCTGATAGTAAGTGCAGCTTTAAATCAAGTTCAACAGAGCTTGTGACCTAATTCAGGATAAGCTCTGATTAAACAAAGAATCGTCTAACAGTTAACCAGCCCAGTCTGGAGCTCAATAGCGATAAATTCAAGCAATGAAGTAAAGTTGTTCCTTCCAGTTTGAAAATATGTATTTCCTAGTCAAAGATAAGCCAAATGTTGGAATATTTTAGATTTACAGTGATTTTCATGGTCTCTGGGTTTTGTTGTTTGATTTGATTTAGTTTCTAAATCAAATATTACCAATATTCTTGAAGCCATGCTTGCATACCTGATTGTATTTTTGTTGTATATGTGTGGCGTTGACATAAAAGTCACGTTGTACTTCTGTAATAAGTATTTTACGGAACACTTTGTATTTATGCTTTTACTTTCCCAAACGTCTAGACTGTGGATAGATTTACACATACCATCAGAACCAGCTGTACCTGTTTGTCTGCATGTGTTTTGGTGATAGCATTAGCCAGGGTGCTCAGTCCTCCTTTCACATCAATGAAACTGATCCCTGCTTTCTCATGAATATGCACGTCCACCTAGATGTCAGAAAAATACAAAGGAATACAGAAGATCATACAAAGGAAACTGCAGTTATCAGGGAAAGTTCTTATGGATAATGAACAAACCTTGAAGTCTTTGACAAGCTTCATGGGTCGAGCGTGGATCTGCAGCTCGTATTTGCCGTGGGTTCGCTTCAGCAGCTCCTCATAGGTGAGTTCAAAGGTGACCTTTTTGTGGGCCGCCACAGTTACAGAGGTTTTAAATTCCTCCATGGTTCTCCCAACAGAGCTAATAAAAAATAATCAGCGCATGAAGTTCCAAAAATTTGAATAGAACTTATTTAGTTGTGGAAACTGTAAAAAGACAGAAATGGCATCAAATTTAGTCCTGTAAGTAAATCAATCAATCCATAAGCTTATACCTGACGATCCCAGCACTTTGTCCAAGACGCACAGCCTGGTTGTACTGCTGCTGAGCTCGTTCCTTAGATTTCACAACTCCATCAAACACTTCCTCATCCATCATCCTGCAGACCCCAAAAAGGGTTTTTGCTTAAGTTCTGCACACTGTTCTGTCTTAAATTCTGCATAAAATGCTTTGTCTAACATTGAAGCAAGAGTAAAACAAATACATTATTAGATGTTGATGTAATAAGATTCCATTAACTTACATCCTGAATTTACTAATGAAGGCATTCTTGGGAATCTCAACATGAAAGGCAATTTCTTTTGATTCGTTCAAACGGTTGGCCACACGGCTGGTGATTACAGTGGTGGCATATCGACTGCTAACAGTGGAGTTGATGTGAAAGCTGTAAATGTCCCAGTCATCCTGCATGAACCCAGAAAGCATAACAGTAATGATAATAATATTACAATTCAGATTTTAATGGCTTATTGCCAATCAGGCACTGATCATAAATCAAAGCATTAATAGGTAAAATATAATTGTTTAGACAAATGACCTGCTTAACAGATAAAGAAGGTACTATGCCAAATGCAAAATAATTTTCTGTTGTGTCTTAATCACAGTCTGTGTGTACTCACATTGTGAATTGAATTACTGAATTAATACTTACACTGCAAAATAAAGTACCATTTATTTGCATCACTTTTTTCTCATTTACTGATACATTTAACTGGACAATTTCAGAAGGTTTTCAGATGTCTTCTAATACTAAAGTTTCATGAGCAAAAACAAGTTTCAGTGCAATGATAACTAAATAAATTATGACCGAATATATACACAGAACAAAACAAAGATACAAATAATATTAACCACAGAGAGAACATTCCCTAACTTGACCTGTTGTTGTTTGTCTAAGGCAGAGATCATGACCCACAGTTAAATTTTTACAAAAACAATTAGCATTTAAACAGGTAATCCATGCATTCTGCTTTTTGGCATAGTGTTTCTCTGTCCTGTTGTTACTATACCTTCGTTGGTTGTGCAGCAGCCAAAGCTAGCAGAAACCCAAAGAGGACGAGCTGCTCCACGTCGCTCCCCATAGTGTCTCGGAGCAGATTCAAACAGAACCAGCTGAATCCTTCCGATAAACTCAAAGTGAGTTCTTGTGTGTGCACGTCTTAAAATCCAAATCATATAGAAAAACAAAAAAACAAAGACATACCCACACACTGAAACTCCACCCAATCTCCTCCACTCAGTCAACAGAAATCTGACGCAATCCTGTTATGTGTATAACCTTTACGATTGAATCTGAACATCCATGTTCTGGACTTTGTTCTGGTATGTTTTTTGAACACCATCCCACTAATTTGAAAACCTACAAAAATAATATAACGAAGACAGTTTGACTTTACTCAGGACACATGCTTTATTAGGCAAATAGGTATGACACAGAGATAAAGTTAACATTTATTAATGACGTTTTCAAATATTGTCAAGTTTTTTGACAATGTCGATAAGACGAGATATGGGCAAAATACTATTTCATAAAATCAAACATAGATAAATTGCTTTGAAGCGTAGTTTTGCAAGACAGAGAGGAAGAAAAGATGTCTGAGCCAAAACCCTATATAATCTCAAAAACATTAAATATTTGCATACCTTCATTAATATACAATCAGAATTAAACAAACAACAATCAATAACAACATTTTTTTTAAGCATATATATGCATTAAAGCAGTGTTTGGTAAGATTATTGAACATTAATGGGTTTAGTTTTTACCCCTTTCACCTCCTTTAAAGGCTTGAATGATTTTTATTTATACTTAATTTTCTTTAGACATACTTTAAAAGGGTATAATTTTTTCACTGATCCTGACTAATAGGTATGTGAATGCTGGTATCAAGCTGTGTAATTTTGTTTCAGATGTGTATTTGGTTATTCATTACAGCTTCCAGTTAAAGTTGTGCAACAGAGTAATCATTCAAAGTCCTCTCCAAGGCAAAGTCAGCTTCCACAAGCCAACAGGTCACTGGCACAGGATTGGCAATGCTGTAGTCAGTTGCAGAGAATCTGAAAAAAAAAGTTAAACAACTCTATTTTTGTGTCCAAAAAAAGAGCAAAAAAGAAAAAAGAACAGAAATATACCTGGAAGCATTGGTCACTCTGTCTTTGTGCTTCAGTCTCGCATTAGAGTATTGCAGAAGCACCTGATAATCTGCTGGTTTTAAAGCTGCACTCAAAAATGCAGGACTTAGCATTAAAACGTTGGCACAGAATAATCTGGAGATACTGTGTTTGGATGCGCTGCAAGCTACAATCAATACATCATTTCCAAACGTTTACAGTTGGAAGAATAAAAAAGTTGACTTTTTACTCACCTAAAAATCCTTCAGTGTCGTTGGCAGATGGCGTCTGTCGCAAAACAGGCCAAAGGAATTTGTTCCCATCCTTCTCATGAACTAAGATAACCAAACGCACATCCTCCACCACAACATCTATTTCTTTGACACGCATGATCACTGTAAGACTGAAAAATGCACAAGGAATAAGATTTACTTCTGTTTTCAAGCCTTTAGAAAATCACATTAGTGCTGGTAAGAAGGTCCCCCTCTCTTTTGGAGCTTTCATGGACTGGAAATGTTAGCATTTTTTTGTTTCATTTTATCATGACAGTATCCCAAAAGTACCTATAAGTAGTATTTTACTCAAGTTCATTTGCACACTCTACACCGTGTTCCAAATTATTATGCAAATCGGATTTAAGTCTCGTAAAGACAAAAATTGTTGTTGTGCTATTAAATGTATTGATGGTATTGTGTGTCATGGTTCTTTGAGTCACTACAATTAATTTCAGAGAGATGGTTGTTTAGTTTGTCTGATGTGCTCAATTAAAGGAAATCTACTTAAGAAGGATGTTCCACATTATTAAGCAGGCCACATGTTTTAAGCAATATGGGAAAGAGAAAGGATAAAAAATCATCAGATAGTTGGTATAGTGCCGTATGACAAGATATGAAAACATTAGATATTTAACAGAAACTGAAGCGCCATTGTACTGTGAAGAGATTTGTGGCTGATTCAGAACAAAGATGGGTTTGTACAGATAAAGGCATAATGAGGAAGGTTTCTGTTAGACAAATTTATTGGATTAACAGAGCAGCTGTTAAAATGCCCTTGCAAAGCAGCAAACTCAGTGTGGTCACCATCCTCCTCTGACCTCAACCCCATTGAGAACCTTTGGAGTTTCCTCAAGCAGAAGGTCTGAGGGTGAAATGCAGTTCATATCAAACCAGCAGCTCTGGGAAGGTTTTCTGACATCCCGCAAAGAAATTCAAGCAGAAACTTTCCACAAACTCACAAGTTCAATGGATGCAACAATTGTGCAGGTGATGTCCAAGAAGGTCCTACGTTAACATGTAACTCCGTCTGTTAAGATGTTTTTGATTTAAATAGCTTTTGATCTTGGTACATGTGATCACTTAATGCTGCACATTCAAAGAATGACCGTTTGCAGTTCTTTATAATCCATAATATGTTTAGAAAATCTGCTGTGCATAATAATTTGGAGCAGTGCATTTTGAGTTTTTATTTTTTTTTATTTTTTTTTTAATACTGTTCTCATGGGGAGATTTGTTCAGTAGAATTTGATTTATACTGTAAATTATACTTGAAAATTATACTGGCCATCATTTGGATTGACCATTTAAGAAAATCTGAGAAAATATCACTTGCATAATAATTTGGAACATGGCGTAATTTGGATACCAATAATAATTTAAAAATCTATTGCAAAAATCCAAGTGTTAAATTTGAAGATAATTGTTGTTTCTGCAGTAGAAGGAAGTTATAAGTTGTAAATGAAAGAAGGTCACCGTCCAGCTGTGATGAGTTCCTGTCCAGTGTGGCGTGACGTGGCCTGTCCCTGTCGAAGACTGATTCCCTCCGGATCAACCTCAAGGTGCAGGTCAGGGTTGATGTGAATGACGATCTTAGCGAAGCCTCCGTTTGTTAGGGAGTCCAGCTCACCATTTACATACAATGCTGACACCAAGAATATAAAATAAAGGTGGAGACCATTTTCATGGAAATATCTGAGGCTTTCACTGAGAAGTTTTGAAAAGAAACATCTCAGCTTGAAATGGCACAAAGGGAAATATTACCAACCCTTGCTTGGATGGTGAAGTAGTTTGAGAATGACATCGTTATTGACATCAAAGCAAAGAGGAAGAAGCTGGTTTTCAGCTTTCCGGAAAAATCTGTGAGGAGCAGGAGCTGGATGGAGAGAAAAGGTTTGTGTAAAAAACATGTCATAAACCGACACGGTCATTCATTCCAGCTGCAGCTGGAGTTTCATTTATTGAAATTGGATTATTATTCCTATAAAAAAAAGAATGCAGCTCCAACTTAAATAAATAGCTTCAAGTGATCATACGTAACTGGGTTACATTGATTTGTTTAACTTAAATTGTATAAACTTCCTTAAATTACTTCTAAACTACTTATTTAAGATGGATCACCTATTATATTTTTTAGTACTGAAAATGATAAACTCAATACAATATAACTTACTATATAATTTATTGTGTGGTTTTTCTTTTCGTGTTGCATTCTATGTTTTGCCTGTTATCTGTTTGCTCCAGTAGTACATGATCAGTTTCAGATCAATTTCTCCTTATGCTAATTTCTCCCCGTATTTAATAAACTTCTTATCCTAAACTATTTCTTCAACAGGGTTACCAATTGCACTACCAAACAGCTGGAAAAATTCATCACTTTTCTGAAGTTATGTGGGCTGTAAAAATATATAGTAATACATTACCAGGTGTTGCTAACTCCTTAGGAACCACATCATAATTATCTGTAAACAAAGTTTGATCTATTGAAAGCTTAACCTTGCTAATTCTAAAAACGACATGGAACTACACTGAGATATGGAGTGAAACACAATTTAAGCTAAAAACAATTATTTTGCTTGCAATTCATGTACAGAAAATATCTGAGGGTGCCAAAAGAAATTTAGAAAATGGGGACAATTCATCTAATGATTCGGAAAATAATGATTTTATCATTGACGATATCAATAAATGTCTTTTGCAATGCTGCTTATGGTAGAACTTTTGTGTGATGCGTCATACCAGCATAGTCGTAAGAAATTGAAGAAGACGCGTCTGAAAAGAAAGATGTAATAATGTTGAAATTATGCACAGTCATTTATCAGATCTTCAAAACAACTAGAACAACAAGTTGTAGATAATTAAAATGCTTCACCTTTTCACTTTTTAAAACTGTCGATAAAAGCATATGGATTTGTAAATAATTAATCAATTCAGTAAACACAGCTCTTTTTTGAATCATAATTGTACCAGACACTGAAAAAGTGCTTTAAGTGATTTAAAGAGCTGAAATTTGATGGTGTTGTGCCAAAACATGATAATCTTCCATAAATGGATGGCATGCTGTGGGAATGCAACAGCTTAATGACTCTGTTGTTTCAAATAACTTGCAGGAGTTGCAGTTAAAAAATTTGGTCAAACTATATTATTGCTACAACACAGATTTGTCTTTCAGAGACTTAGGCAGAAGTTTGTCTCCCTTAATTGATACAGTCTTTCCCAGAAAGCTTGTGGGAAGTGTTTGGAGTTTGACAAAAACTGCTACATAACACTGTGCATAATACAACCTTTAGAAATGTTTTTTTGTGGTAAGAGTTGATTGCGTTTATGTTGTAAACTTGCTAATTCTAAAAACAACATGGAACCACACTGAGATATGGAGTGAAACACAATTTAAGCTAAAAACAATTATCTACATTTGGCAGACCATCACTTTTTGGCACAACATCTCTCCAGTTCAAACACAGCAGGAGATACAATCCAAATTAAATTTTTTGCCAGCTGGTGACTTTTTCCAAAACTTTCATTCTCCCAAAAATGTGGTACTAAATTATATTTGAGAGCTTTGTCTGCTGTCTGAATAGTTGTGTCGCATTTTATCTGACTTTTACGTCACTCATCTGAGATACGCATCTAGATCCTAAATGGAAACATAAACAATGGCAGAAATTATTTATAAAAACTGTGAAGTCGTGAAAGAAGTCTGTTCCAGTCAGGTATCACATCAGAAACTCACAACTCCTGGCTCCGACTACGTATCCAAACAGATTTCTATATAAATCTGCTGTTAATGCTCAAAAAGCCATTGCCATTACGATAGTGCTTTCTTTTCATTTCCCTGCTTCATCTTGCTGGGATCTTGTGACAATATCATCGGATTCCATTACTCATCAACTTTAAAATCAGTCAATTATTGCTCACATGTACAATAATGTGCTGCTGTGTGACATCTACTTTCTTTTTCTCTGTCGATCTGGGATTGTTAACCTTTAACACAGAAGTGAATTGTTTGTCCTAATTACAATTAACTAGCAGTAAAAGTGACTGTACAAAAAAAAAAAAAATCAGATTTGGCAAAAATCCAAATTGAGCATCAAAACCTGCTGTGTGAAAGTAGCCATAACCTCAGAGGTAGAAACCTCCATGACAGAGCATCATAATGATTTTCAAATGGTTCAGGCTTCAACTTTTCTACATTTCCCCCTCCCTACCTGTGCTGTATTCACTCTGATTAACCTAACATGCCACAAAGAGTTTTTTCTTTCTTTCCTTGAGTGATTGGTTGCACTGGTGCCACATTAGGTTTATTTAGACACTTAATTGAGAAATTAGGTCTCATGCGGTACATGAAATCTGTGTGGCCTGTTATACCATGTGAAGAAGGAAAACTCGTAGCTCCGACGGGTCCTATTCAGAACAAAGAGACAATAACGTTAAAATCACATGCATCCATTAATTTCAAAATGATATTGAGATAATTTCTTATGATCTCAACATGCGTGCCACATTCACTGCTTTTATCTGATAATCTTAATCTGCCACAGAACTTTTTTTTTTTCTTTCCTTGAATGATTTGATTTGTTTAGGCAGACTTTTGAGAAATTACGTGTCATGTGTGACCAAACTGGTCTTTCTCTGGAGCATTGATTTTATGTAATGCTTCTCATGACAGTGTGTGGACTATTATACCATGTGAACCAGGAAATCCAGGAATTCCAGCGAGCCCAACGTGTCCTATTCAAAACAAAGAGAAGATAATGTTAAAATCACATGCATCCATTAATTTCAAAATTATATTGAGATAATTTCTTACGATCTCGACATGTGTGCCACATTCACTTCTTTTATCTGATAATCCTAATCTGCCACAGAACTTTTATTCCTTGAATGATTTGATTTGTTTAGGCAGACTTTTGAGAAATTAGGTGTCATGTGTGACCAAACTGGTCTTTCTCTGGAGCACTGATTTTATGTAATTCTTCTCATGACAGTTTGTGGACTATTATACCATGTGAACCAGGAAATCCAGGCATTCCAGCGAGCCCAACGAGTCCTATTCAAAACAAAGAGAAGATAATGTTAATTTAAAAATTATCTCTAAGAAGGATTCATTCTCCACACATAAAAATATATAGAATTACAATTCTTCCAAAATTCTGCAAGAAAATTTTGACTTTGTTCAATTATGGCTGCTTTTGATGAATTTTCTTAAATTAAATACAATTTTGTTAAATTAAACTGCATATCATTTTTCACACAATATAATCTGAGTTATCTTTTTTTGGACAAAGACTCAGAAATATTTTTAGTTTCATGTTGCAGATGAAAGGGTACACATTTACCCTGTTGTGTGTACAATTATTCACAAATCGACATCTAAGCTCAGTGACTATTTAAAAAAAATAAAAGCATGCTTTATCATCATTTGATTACGATGTATCTTCCAGTCATTAATTCCATAAAAAAGAAGGCAGAGAAGGAGATATTTACTGTTGGCTGGTGTGGCAAAACTGTCCAACCGGCCTCCTTGTCCCTCTTTGGGTTTGGAAAGGACATCCATGTCGTCCCCCTGTGGCTTGGTGACCACCATGGATGTGAGTGGAGTCACAAAGCTGTACTTCAGGGACAACTCCAAAGCTTCACTCTTCACTTCGTCTTTCTGAGGTCCAGATACCAGCAGCCTGTATCGCAACAACTACAATGTGGCAACTGAGATAAACAGCAGCAAAACATTGGGCTCTTTTACGCTTTGAATGTTTGTGCTTCTCATACATCATGAACACTATCATTCAGATGTTATATTATTGTCTTAAAGCTGCTCCTTTCTCCAAATTTTCTTTTTACAGTGACTGTAACATACATGGAGCTGCAATTAGTTTCAACCATCATGGTTTATTTGAAATGTTCTTCTTTCCATGGCGGCACAATAAGATAATGTATGATTTCAGCAAATTATCCAGGCATAATAATTAAATTAATTAATTAATTAATCTGGTTCAGTGTGAGCAGGTGGCTGCTCACACTGAACCAGACATAGGAGTTCTCCCCTTCACTGGTGACCATACAGTAGTCTGTTATTAGTGCTGGCTGCTATGAGTTGTGTTTGATAGAACAGCTGAGATCCATAGAGTCAATTATAAAGACCTCTGATGACCTGCAAAACGTTTCTATGATTTGGTTGATTTTTTTGTGTAGTTGTAGTACATTCATTATGATGATCTTATGGCTGCACTTTATATTCTGACTTGATATTTCAGACTCATATGAGGAATGGATCATTAGGGAAAGCTTTTACCATTAACAAACAGTCATGTGTTTACATGACTAATATTCCAAAAAAGTGTGTGAAGTGGGCCTAATCAATCATTTTACTTGAGCAATTCAACTTTGCTAAAATTATGTTTATGATGGACTGTTAACCCCGGCTTGTTTTAGTCCTGGAAGATTTAGATTTAGATTTATTTTCAACCAAGAAGTTTATTTCTAACATCAAATGAGACGGGCATTATTTAAAAGGAAATTCAACAAGAAAATAATGTCAATTTTGAAAGAAAAAAAAAATGTAAGTTCTTGTTTGCATTGTAATAAAAACTGTAAGTAAAAAATTATTTATATCCAGCTTCATAATCAATAGAAAAATCTTGGTACCAAAACTCCTGACCCGATTAGGGAAAAGGTGTTAGAAAATGGATGGATGGACGGACGGACGGACGGACGGACGGACGGACGGATGGATGGATGGATGGATGGGCTCCAGGTCTTGACTGAGTCACTTAAAAATATTATTTCCAGTAAAGAGTTTCATTAAAAGATGATCTTAAGCCTGAATCTATCAGGGCTTAACAATGTTGGGCTTAACTGCACTGTAATCTTTAGTGCAAAGATGTTACAAACAATACAGGTTTCTGTAAAGTCATTTTATGAGAATCGACAGATAGCCACTGTCTGCCATTGATACACCTCAAGTATCCAATGAAATCAGAAATGACTGCATTGGATTTGTTTTTCTTGTTTTGGGTCAATATTTTGATGCAGAAGAACAAAGTCTCAAATTGTTCATTTTATATTTACAGTCTAACCCTGGTGTGAAATACAAGTTCACATTAAAAATCCTCTTTGTGTCCATCAATAGAAAGTGTAGTGGGAAACTGCAAACAGAATCCTAAATAAAATAGACACAAAAAATGAAACGTAACATATTGTACCACTTACTCTTTCTCCAGAAGTTGTTTCACAGTGAGGTAGGCCCAAACCCTTTGAAGAAGTCCATCAGCAATTCCAGTAGAAGAATCCTCAAACTCATTTGTTTTAGAAAATGTCATTTTTTGTTTCAACTGTCATAATGCAAAAACAATTTTAAAGTCAGTACACAAGGACTTTTAAAATTAATCTAGAAAAAAGTCCTAATATTTAGACATTGTATATTGATCCTTACTGAAATGGCCACGACTTCTGGCACAAAGTTTTCAATGTTGTTGTCGATGATCTCACCGGCCACCACGATCTCAGAGCCGTTATAATACTGACTGAAATTAGTCTGGGTTAGATTGGTTCCACCGACATAGATCATTGTGACATCTGTTAGCAGAGGAGTGGCCACTTCTTCATAAAAGCCCTGTTGATGTACAGTTTTATGCAGCGATGAGGACAGTTTTCTGCATCAAAATGTTGGAAATTGATAAAAAGTGTATTGTTGAAATGGAGGATAATACCTTGAGCTGCAAATCAGCATCAGAGTCTTCATAGATCCGCCTTGCTACACCGCTGTTCCCCAAAGACATCTTCTCCAAAAACTCAAAATTGACATCAAATCCAAAACCAAGACAGTAGAGAGGAAACTTTCCTGCAATCGCCTGTTTCACATTTGATTGTATTCTTTCCAGATTTGTCACACCTGGAACGACAAAAAACTGCTAGAAATATTTCCAACAAAAATAAAACCAGACAGCTATCGGCTGTCAAAAGACTGTGTACAGAAATATGATGAAAACTTTTAATATATTCATAATTTTAACAGAATGGTGATATACTGTGAATGTAAAGTGTAGTCTTAAAAATGCTAAAATGTACTGAAACCTAATAGAGATTTGTTTGTGGCTGATTTATCTCTCATAACTCCGATTTCACCAGTTTAACAAAAATACATAATTTTTCTGTTTTTTGGGGCTCCCTTAGGCTGCTTCAGTCTTTTGTGAAATATAATGACATGATGCAACATAAAGAAGGGCCTTCTTGCCTGGCAGCAAGAAGGTTCTGGGTTCGATTCCCGGCCCAGGGTCTTTCTGCATGGAGTTTGCATGTGCATGCATCGGTACTCCGGCTTCCTCCCACAGTCCAAAAACATGATTGGTCTTTCCCAATTCTCCCCAGGTGTGAGTGTGTGCATGCATGGTTGTTTGTCCTGTTTCTATGTTGCCCTGAGACAGACTGGCGACCTGTCCAGGGTGACCTGGACACGCATCTGGAGATAGACGCCAGCAACTCCCAACCCCAATAGGGATTAGGGTGAACAGATATTGGATGGATGGTGCAACATGTAGTCTGGCTTTTAATTATGGAATTTAGACATCAATAATTTTAGAACTTTTTGTTGACTAAATTATTTAATCTTATAAAGCTATAGAACTACCGGAGGGATATTTTTATTATGCACCACGATCCTATGAAAAAATGACTTAAGTACCAACAGAGTAAATTTGCATGTGTGTTTTAAATTAACCTGATGTTGGGTCTCCATCTGTGAGAAGTATAAGGATGGAAGCTGAACCTTCTCTAGGATGTGCATTCAGCATGTTTGCCCCTTCCAACACTGCTGCATTGATGTCTGTAGCTGAAAGAAGTAAAGTAAATTAATTAATTGCCATCCTGCTGCAAGATCTTTGTATTCCTGTGTACTGAGAAATCTCACCTCCTCTGTCAGTAATACCATGCGCAAATTTCTTGGCATCCTCTAGATTTGCACTAGTGGCCCGAACGAGTTCTCGTCTCCAATGAGATAGATCGCTATCAAAACTGAGAAGACCGAAGAAGTCATCTTCAGCCAGGTCATTCAATATATGAATTAAAGCAGTTCTGGTCTGTGGAAGAGACAAAACATAATAAATAAGGTAAAAAAAAAAAAAACAACATGCATGTTGGGTGAAACTGTTTGTTTAATTGTAACAAATAATTTACCTGTTGCATTTTTCTGCCATGCATTGAGCCACTTCGATCAATGACAAAGACAACGTTCTTTGGTATTCGGGGAAGGTTTGATGGAGCAAAGTGATGGACAAAGTATCCGTTCGAAGTCTAAGAAGAAGTAGGACCATATAAATGAGTGAAAGAGTGAAGGATATTTAAACTTTTTGGTCATGTTTTAAACTACACACATCTTCATAATTGTTTTCAGGAGTGTTTTACCTTGATGTCGCCCAGTCCATTGCCTCGATTTACATCATAAACAACAATCAGATCTCCATTCAGACCCTGCTCTCCACAACTGTCACAAGCTGTCTGTTGGTCCGCCGTAGGATAAAAATACACCCACGCCTGAAACAATATAGAATAATTTGCATACATTAACAATTTTACAAATTTCAGATAAATAATTGTGCTAGAAACACAAATGCAGTGAAGAAAAACAAAACATAATTCACTACTTATAATTTCGAGCTAACTGCTATGCTGGAGATAAAAGAGACAATAGTCTTTGAAGTAAAAATACCTGTTTATCTGCATGTGTTTTAGTGATAGCATTAGCCAAGGCTTTGGTGCTCAGTCCTCCTTTCACATCAATGAAACTGATGCTGGCTTTCTCGTTAATGTGCACATCAGCCTTAAAGTAATAACAACAAAGCAATTAGAAACATTTATCACCACAACTGATGTTATTTTTACCACAATCGAGATACTTTGAAGTCTTTGACGGGCTGCATGGGTCGAGCGTGGATCTGCAGCTCGTATTTGCCGTGGGTTCGCTTCAGCAGCTCCTCGTAGGTGAGTTCAAAGGTGACCTTTTTGTGAGCCGCCACAGTTACAGAGGTTTTAAATTCCTCCATGGTTCTCCCAACAGAGCTGAGAACAAAAGCAGAAACTGTAATTATTGCAAAATGTTAGAAGTTTCAATCTTAAATATTTCTGGCTGCAGATATACAGCAGAAATATAATCCCAGAAAAACATTTATCTGAGGGATTTGGGATTGAGTTACCTGACAATCCCAGCACTCTGACCGCGAGACACAGCCTGAGTGTACTGTCGCTGAGCCTGCTCCTTAGTTTTCACAACTCCATCGTACATTTGACCATCAATGAGCCTAAAGAGGTAAGAAACAAACTGCTGAAGCTAGAATTAACAATAACTGATCACAAAATAATAAATATGTCAAAATATCAGGCACTGTCACAAGTTTTTTTTCCCACTCACATCCTGAATTTGCTGATGAAGGCATTTTTGGGAATCTGAACGTGGAATTCAATTTCTTTCGATTCATTCATGCGATTCACGACACGGCTTGTGATGACGGTGGTGGCATATCGGCTGGTCACAGTGGAGTTGATGTGAAAGCTGTAAATGTCCCAGTCGTCCTGTTTAAACGCAGACAGCAACTCAGCAGCAGACACCCAACTGAGAAACTATTCATTTTTATGCATTGATTGATGAAGTCTTATCATAGACTGTGGACAAACTCTATTTTTATGACTTTATCTAATCGTTCATATTTTTCATATAAACAAGTCCTAAAAGCAAACATACAAATAGTGTTTTACAGACCTTTGTCACTTGTTACGCTACTCTGTACTTTGTGTTGAAAATGAGGTTGACCTAAAAATAATGAGTAACTCAATAAAATGTTCTACAAATTGACTTAGAAGAAAAAATATTTGCACAACTAAAGACGCAAAACTATCTGGTGAAGAGGACAAATTCTACATTTATGTAACATCCCTAAATCTGTTTTAGTTTTGGTAAAGACAACAGTTCAACAGCTAGTTTTCTAAACTTGTTTCTTCTTTTTTGACGAAATTCTGTCCATCCTTTAGCAAATGTTACTTTTTTCTTCACGATCCACATGGGCAAGTTTTCCATAAAGGCATGCATAATGACTCATTTAAATGTGAATAAAATGTGCAGTTTTATTTTCTAAAGTCACAACTAGAAACTAGTGCAAATAAAAAGCTTCTTGTGACAAAAAACACAATTTAATTCAATTTAAATTTAAACATGATATTTGTGATTTTCAATTTTTTTTATTGGCTGAGCCTCAATAATCACAGAGACTTTATGTTACTTAAAAAACTTTTTTGTTCACAAAATGTCAGGCATACAAGTATAAACCTACCACATTTGTTGGTGAAGTTAAAAACAGGTAAAGATTCTTCTCGGAAACTAAAAACAAATTTGAACTCTGATCTGCTCTTTGAACATCTGTTTAGAAAAGAAGCCTAGAGGTCGGAGCTTTAAACATACAATCAAAATGACAACGTTTTTTACTTTTCACTGAATAATGTCCCCCATATTCATTTCTAATAACCACATAGTAAATTCTCACTACTTATTGAAAGACCTTTTTATGAATATTTATATTGAACATGTGGGATTTAACAAGAAAATAATATCACTGATCATTTGTCCTTGTGCTGAATGTTTACCAACAATGTTTTATTTAGTGTAACACTAGCAAATTGTATCTCGTTTTATGTCAAGACTTTTCCTATTTTATTTATGTACATTCATGAGTTTATTTTCAAAGATAGTGGAACATATTCACAGTTTAAAGAAGAGCTGAAAAATTAAAGAATCATAGTGATAAGCTTAGAGATGGCTTGTCATTTGGGACATTTTTATGTTATGTTTTTGTTTCTTTATCTCACATATAAAGAGCTGATTTCACTTGTGAATTTATTCCTGCTGTTTTTGTTATTCAATAGACAAGTGAAAGATTTTCAGAGGCAAGAAAATGAGTCTGTTGTCTTGATTTTCCCACAATAGTTCATTTTGTAATAGTTTTATGAGTTTGTTTTAGCAAAATCTGCAATGAACTTTCATTTTAATCATATCACAATGCACATTACTATCCTCCTACCTCGTAATTATTTAGACTATTTAGTTTTTCAATACAATACAATACAACGGTTTCATTTCACATGCACAATGTAAACACATGCATACAGAGGATGACCAGTCAGTCCACAAAACCTTAAGGGTTCAAAGAGTAAAGGCTCTTTGCTCAGTTTATCCTGCTTATCTGAAGCAGAATTCAAACTGTTAGAACAAACGAGATAATTGAACAATAAGTCTGTTTCATTCATTTGTAAAAAAAAATGATCCAATGATAAATTATACACATTTATTTATTCTGCTGTCTTTCTTGTGATTACCGTTCCCTCAGACTGTACCTTTTTTGGTTGTGCAGCAGCTAGAGTCACCAGAACCCCAAAAAGGGTGAGTTGCACCACTCCTCCCCTCATAATGGACCACACTGTCTTCTGAACTCCAACAGACTCCAAATGCACAGTGCACACTTTATTTGAAAACATTTTGAAGAACATTTTTTTCTTAGTCTCCTCCCTCCTGTTCCTCTTTGTTTGAAGTTATAGAAAAAAAAAGTCACATGGATAAATCCACCCACCATATCAGTTCCACCTTTGCCTCTCCAAAGTAAAATCCAACAGTAAATGTGTTGTGTGGGTGTAATCTATGCTATCGGGAAAGTAAGGCAATTGTCTGAAAATTTACCTTGGATGACTGGGCTTCGATTATCATTTGTTTGTGTTCTGATTTCTTGGTTATAGTTTAGAGATTCATATCATCGAGTCCTTTCTGTTCGTCTGTCTTTGCTCACTATCGTAATTCGGGTCTTGCCATAAGTTTATTTCTCTCTGTTTGGCTTTATATTTATTCCCTCTGTGTATTTTGGATTTTTCTCTTGTGTTAGTGTTAGGGATTTTCACATTTTGTTACTTATTTACCTTCCCTCAGTCACAATATTTGGTTTAATCTATGACTGTTTGACATTTTTCCTGCTAAGCTCACTATTTCTACACTATACAAAAGTGCAGTACTTTTTGTCTGTTTCTGCTGATGTTGAAAAAATAAAATTTTGCAACTGCAATGTCTCCATTAAAGAAATTAATTTAAAGTCAAATGAGAAAAAACTTCTTCACTTGATATTGTTATAATTATTGTAGCAACAGATGTAAAAGAAATACATTGATAAGTCATCCATGGCTCTTGCGCTCATCATCTATCAGCCATCAGAGAAGACGTTGGATTATACTTGGGGGCAGCAATGAATGCAGCATTTTGGAGATTCTGTAGTCGGTGATTTTACACAAGAGTTATGGATTCAAAATATTCAAATAACACACAACTTGTTCTGAACTGTGTGATGCAACAACATTGCTCAATCTCTAAAAAAACATCATCTGCTTACTACTTCCTGCCGCCTTCTTTGTTGTTTTCCCCAGTAGTAACATTCTGACCTGTGGGATGCAAAAAAGTTTTTCCATTGCAGTTTTGTGAAATACATCTGTTTTGATTAGGCCCAAAATTCACCTAAGCCTCATCCTCTGCCCACAAACAACAAGCAACCATAAGGCGATCTTTCGTCATCTCAGCACACTTCAACAGTTATTTCAGGTATTTACCTTAATAGATTGAATCGGTTTAGTTTTGTTTGTCTGACTTCTTTTAAGAATCCGTTCATTAGTAAAGTCTTTAATTTGAGTCTTAAAGACTTATTACATCATAATTTACCAATAAATAGTCTTTCAGAATATTAACACTATTTATTATTTTTTTTATGTATGTGCTTTGTTTTTGTAGTGCACGCAGACACCAGATATGACCTTTCACTTACTTTACACTGTTTTTTTTGTTTTTACTCCAAAAATGCAAGACTCTCTGACATTTTGCTGTTTCCATAAGTCATTCAAATATCAGTCTTTATTGCCCTGAAGTGTTTCAATAATTGTTTTAGCCAATGTGTCCTTTAAATCATAGTTTTATTGTGTGGCAGCTCATAAGAGCAGAATTCAATAAAGTCAGCATGACTTATTGATTTTTTTCTAACTGTGCAATCATCAAAAGGCAATGTTCAATAAATTTCTGTAATCTTTTTTAAAAGACAACTTCAACTTTTAGCATGAACAGTAATGCTCTGTTTTTGACAATGAAAAATCAGTTTGAAAGTTAATATAAGAAACATTGGCATAAAAGGTTAATGTGTAAAACACTAAAATGCAAAGGAAGGAAATGTTTATTGATTTTGTTCTTTTATTGGTAGTCTAATGCACACATACAGACACATTCTTACTAAAGTCCAACTGTGATTGGCTCATCAGGCTGGATGCCATTTTTCTCTCCAGGAAGCTTCAACCTCAGGGAGCAAAGCTGAGCTCTTAAACTCAGAAGCAAGTAAAATACCTGGAAATGAATCTATGAAGACATTCTCTTCATCCAGTCAGTGCCAGATTGAACAGCACTAATCCAATCAATAAATCAGCCACAACCAGTTCAGTATGGTTGTGTTTTTATATTTGTGCTCCAGATGTTTTGTGGTCCAGCTTTTGTTCCTGCCAACCTTTGACTTGTTTGTCTCCCATGCCTTGATGTGCTCAGCATCACTCAAGGATTTGATTTTGAGGAATAATGTCCAGTTTGATTCTGATGCTCTCAAATTAAATGACTGAAGCATATAATAAATGCTTCCCTTTACTCACAGCTCAGCATTCAGGTCAGACAACATCTGTGTTTAGATTCTCTGTCAGCTGAGCAGAGAATCAGACAATCCAGTGGTTAAACTAATAAATACTTTCCCTTATCCAAAGAATGGGATTCAGGTCAAACAACATCTGTGTTTAGATTGTGTCAGCTGAGCAAACCATTGAACTGAAGAACTGTAAGAGTAACGAGTTAAAAAAAAACGTGACACATGAAAGTTCTAGATCAAACTAGTTTTAATTCTCATGACAAGGCAGTTTTTTGGTGTAACAAAGTTTTCTTTTTTCTATCCCTCCTGAACTGCCCTTGTTCTTCCAAACTTGGGGGATGTTTGTCTCATAATTTAGACATTTTACCTCAAAATTATGCTGTCTCTAAACTATACAGAGACCGTAAGTTTTTAATTAAAGCTCTCCCTGCCATAAGCTTAATTAATACTTTGTATGTTCATCTCTAGCCATAAAATATTTGCTCAACTCGTGTTTTTGTAATTGTCGAACACAAAACCATTGTGCGATTTTGAAAAAAAATATGATCCTTAACTATTTATTCGACTGCAAATGAATCCTATTTTTGATCGTTACAAAGATGTATTTGAAATATGTGATAAGATAACCTCCTAATTACAAAAAAATCCTTTTTTTAGACTAATTGTTAATTGTAATTTTGCATCAATTCTGCTATGTTTTCTGCACCTACCTTCACTTGTTTTTTGTTTTTCTTTTGGATTAAGTTCTAACTTGCACTTTTTCTGATTTATTCATCATGACTTTCAGTTAAACACGGGCAACAAGAAAATCAGTCAAAGATTTTGGCAGGACAAAGTCAGTAGGAATAAGCCAACAGCCGACTTCTACGGGTCGCCGAATCCTGAGGTCAACAGCTGTGGAACTGAAAAAAGAGGAAAAAAGATCTTTAAACTGCTGTATTTTTCTCTTGCAAAAATGTGTTGATCAAAAGGCAAAAAGTACCGCTGAGTATCAGTCTCTCTGTTTGCTATCTTCACTTTTGTGTGGACATCTCGATGAACCTCTTCATAGTGCACACGATTTAAAGCTGTACACAAAATCCAACAAGTAAACATTTGCAAAACAATGCATCCCCAGCCTACAGTGTGCACTGCCTAAATGTTACTTAAACAAATGCAAAAAAAGCTTGAAGTAAGGCAAATAGGTCAACAAAACCAGAAATGTCGCTCACCTAAAAGTCCTTCAGTGTCGCCAGCAGACGGCAGCCGTCTTAAAACAGGCCAAAGGAATTTCTTCCCGTGCTTCTGATGGACTAAGATGACCAAATGCATGTCACCATCTGTAACTTCTGTTTGCTTTTTACCCCTGTTCACTGTAAATCTAGAAAAATAGGCATGAAATGGCTTTTGAGGGAAATTGGTTGCAATAAAATATAAGTGTGAACGTGAATAAGAGACTGATTGCCTAATTCGATCTTCACTTATTTAGAAGAAACAACTTGCAGCATTTTATGTCCACTTTTACTGTTATTTGGTACTTTGTGTTGGTCTGTCACATAAAATTCTTATAAAATGTTGTGAAACTTTAGACGAGCCTCAAGAGCAACTTTCTGATTGCATTACTTGACGTACATTATTTATTTCCTGTGTTTTCTCTACTAATCACATATAAGTTCTGCATCTTTAAATCAGCTTGATAAAAGTCTCTTCACATAAGAAGGTATTTTGGGGATCAATAACAACATTGAATTTTTAAGATCAAAGTCACCTTCCAGCTGTGATGTTTTCCGTTCTTGTGTGGTGAGTTATAGTTTGTCCCTGTTGAAGTCTGATCCTCTCTGGTTCCACCTTGATATGGAAGTCAGCGCCGACGTGGATGACTATCTCTTTGAAGCCACCATTCTTTCTTGAGTCCAACACACCATTTATGTAAAGCTCTAAAGGGAAAAGAGGCCGCTCATTTCTGTATTATTACTTATATTAAAACAAGAGACAGAGGAAACTCAGTATCTGTTTAGCTACATTCACACTGCAGTTCTTCAAGCTAAATTCAGATTTTTTGTTTTGAAGAAGCACCAAATGATAACTTAAATACCACTTTCTTGTAAAGGTTGGAGAATTTAACCAACAAAATACCTTCCTAACTACTTTACCATCTATAATTCCTAAAGTAAAGCTTTTTGGATTGATCTATCCAGGTAAAAAAAAGCATGCACTTTTATCAAACTTTCTTTTTGTGTGTCTCCCAGTTGGAAGAAGTGAACAAGTATGGATACAGACCTGTGCTGGGATGATGAAGAAGTTTAACAATTACAGCTCCAATAATGTCAAAGCAGAGTGGATAAGTGTCATTCACAGTTTTCATCAAAAATCTGTGGGAAACAGGAGCTAACAAGAAAATGGCAGGTGGTGAGATACTAAGAAACATTTATTTTTATTTCCAGAAACATCCTAAATATAAAAAGATTCATGTTCGCAAATTTCCTAATCGCTACTCAATCCTAATTTAGTTTTATTTGGCTCTGATCTGTAGAGTTCTAGTCATTAAACAAAATTTACAATAAAAATTAATCACAGACTTGTCTGAAACACAGCACAATACTAAATATCATTTAAAATAAACTAAAACATTATAAATAGCACTGCAACACAAAAAACACAACATCTTTTCTTTAGTATGAATAAATATCTAGGTATTTAGAAACAGTAAGTGACAATATGCAACCTCTGAACATCATCAAATATATATATATATATATTTTATTAGTAGAAAATTTTTAACTTTTAAGCCCTTTTTTCTGTTTTATTTGTGTTTAATTCAGTGCTTATGATGTGAAAGACAACTGTGGTAATTAGGTATTATTGTTCGTCTGTTCCACTCATGTGAAACAAGGAAATAACAACTTTATTTTTTATTTGTATTTTTTACCACAAAACAGTTTAAATCGACATGCATACATGTGGTGTCTCACTTGCAGTGTGATACTTGGTTTTACATGTGAATTTTCTGCAAGCGTAATCTAAGATCCTTCTTACCCCTCACACACACACACACCCTCACACACACACACGCACACACACACACACACACACACGCACAAACACACACACACACACACACACACACACGCACACACGACATTCTGTAAATAGCAGCAGATTAATTAATGTCCATCTTTTAAAGACAGGATTGGTGCTGTATTCTAGTCCTTTCAGCGTTTGCCTCTTTTCACCCCCTCACTTCTTCTTCTTCCTCTCCCCTCTTTACATTGTTTTTATTTTCAGTTTTGCAACTTAAAACAGTTTCTAGATTTCTGCCGTAGAAAGCCAGCAGTAAAAAAAATAAAAATACTAAATTGTTTCTGTGCGTTGTTATAAAATGTTTTCAGTTAAAAGCTAAAGTAAGAAAAATAAAATAATGTCAAAAATAATTATAAACAGAGTTGCTGTACTTTACCAATTGTAGGCAAATGGATATGTCCTGAATCAAAATTCAAACCTGTGAACCAAATGTTCATAAAGTTATTCAGGTGTTCCGGTCGAATAAAGCTTCAATGTAAAGAGAACTGAAATATTCTGGGAACATTTTATGAACATTGAACACATAGCAAAGAAAATAATAGTAATATGAACCTCTGTTCACTCTGTCGAAATAAAATCTTTGTTCACTTCACAAATGAATAGTCTCAGTGAGAAAAAAAAGAAGAAAATTCTTCACACTTCTTAGTGATTAATGAGGAGAATTATATTGAAAGTGCCGGGTTTCGTAAGCAGCGAAAGAGTACGTATCATTGACTTAATGATAAAAATTGTCAAATCAAATGGGTAAACTGGCTGATGTTTTAAATCACATAAAACATCTGCTGTTTTAGGTTAGTTAGGATTTTCAAAATTGTTAATTCATAGAACAAGAATTGTATATTTTTTTCCCTGAACTGAGAATTGGTATAAATTTAGGAGAAATACTCTTTTAAACTGTAACTCAGTAGTTTAGTTTTGCTTTATAAAACTTTCTTTTTCAAGTAATACTTACTCAATGAAAACCTGTGTTTAATAACATATCACATACTTAAACCAATGTTTTCTATAATGTGAGAACATACTGTCAATTTGTAATTATAAATTATTTAAATCAGCACGTCTAACTGATGATACAATACAGGTAAAAACAAAAGAAGAAGATCGTACTTTTATAAGATAACACTAGAGGAGTTGAGCTTGTCCGCCTCTGAGGCCCTAAGAAGAAGGAAGAAAAAAAATTTACATTAGACTGACAGAGCGCTTTATAGGACACTCAAAGACCCCGTTAATGACATCAGTCATTCACATTCATGAGCTGATGGTGGAAAGCTACTGGATTGTAGCCACAGCTGCCTGGGGCAGTGGGACAAAGGAGAGGCTGCTATGAAGCCACCATCGGTCCTTCTGTCCACCGCCAGCAGGAGAGTTGGTTGAAGTGTCTTGACCCGACAGAGACGGACGGAGCGAGGCTCAAACCGGCAACCCACCGTTTGCAGGACAAACTCCTACCTCCTTCATCGTTATCTGACAGTAAATCATACTAAATCTCAACTCCGTTCAGATTATCATAAATTATTAGCATTTGCAAAATGTCAGATTTAATGACAGCAAAAAATATTTTAGATATGTTTCAAATGTTTTAGGCATGAAATACTTGCAAAACAGATGATGAGCTCTACTGATTTGATTTTAAAATGATTGATTCGGGTCTAATATTTTTGCTGCTTACTTAATGAGGCATGTGTTCTTGGCTGCACCATGACGTGTTGTCTCCTTTGATGTCTCTGAGGCAGCGGTCGTTCTTCCTTCTCCTTCGGTTTGTGATGAATTTCTGTGCTCTCCCCCTCAGGCTTGGTGACCACCATGGATGTGAGCGGGGTCACAAAGCCGTACGTCAGAGACAACTCCAAAGCCTCTTTATTCACTTTTGCTTTCTCAGGTCCAGATAACAAAAGCCTGTATATAACAATAATTTATTAATGTGGAGTGCTTACAAGAGAACCAATAAACATGCCTTCCATGGATAAGGTGACCATAATAATAATAAAAAACATGACCAAAGTTTCTAAAAGATCCAAAATATTAACTGTGATTAGCTGTAGTAATATCCACCCATTATCCATTATAATATTCCTCAAGTCCCAAATCAGTGGTGTGAAAGTCAAAGTCCGAGTCTTTGAGCTTTTTTTCAAGTTCAAGTCGTGTGACTCGAGTCCCCACCTCTGTCAAAGACATCCGATTCATATTTACCTCTAAGCACATCATACTATATTATTTATTTACTTTCAGTTACATTGAGGTGTTCCACATTTGGAAACACGGCTAGTCCTGGCAAATTTATATGGGTTGCAAACATGTTAAATTGTCTAAACTGATACAATAATGAATATTGAACTGCATAGCAAAACGAAGAGAAGGTGTCACATATACCACTTACTCTTTCTCTAGAAGTTGTTTAACTGTGAGGTAGGCCCAAACTCTCTGAAGAAGTCCATCACTGACCGAAGAATCCACAGAGCCGTTTGGGTTAGAAAATGTTACTTTTTGTTTACTCTGTCAAAACCAGAAGAAAATCTAAGATCACCGTTTCCTTACTTAATTTTTATCTTTTTAAGTTACACCAAATAAATCTTACTGAAATGGCCACAACTTGAGGAGTGAAGATTTCTACGTTGTTGTCGATGATCTCACCGGCCACCACGATCTCAGAGCCGTTATAATACTGACTGAAATTAGTCTTGGTTAGATTGGTTCCACCGACATAGATCATTGTGATATCTGTTAGCAGAGGAGTGGCCACTTCATCATAGAAACCCTGTCAATGCATATTGTAGAAACAATATGAATGCTTAATACAGACAACTATTTGTTTTTGCAGAAAAGTTTAGAAAAAGTTAACAAAACAAGAAACAAAGTTTAATGTTGGCTACCTTAAGCTGCAAGTCAGCATCAGAGTCTTCATAAATCCGTCTTGCAACACCGTTGTTCTGCAGCGACATCTTCTCCAAGAACTCAAAATTAACATCAAATCCAAAACCGAGACAGTAGAGAGGAAACTTTCCTGCAATTGCCCGTTTTACGTTGGACTGTATCGTCTCAAGATTTGTCTCTCCTGCAACAACACACCACAATTTGATTTTCCAGGAAGCTTTTTTGAGGCCCACATTTTCATAGTTTAGTGTCATTTTGATTATTTAGTCCATTCTTTAGAGCTTGAAACAGCTCTAAAGAATGGGTGCTACGGCAGAAAATGTCCTTAACCTGATGTTGGGTCTCCATCTGTGAGGAGTATAAGGATGGAAGCTGAGCCTTCTCTGGGATGTGCATTCAGGATACGAGCTCCTTCCAACACTGCTGCATTGATGTTTGTACCTGAAAGAGAAAAGCAGTGACGTATTTCACTTCCATCCTGCTGCAATGTTTTCAGTTCAGTGAATAAATTCATCTCACTTCCTCTGTCTTCAATATTCCTCACAAACCCTCTCGCTCCCTCCAGATTTAGATCAGTGGCTTGAACGAGTTCCCGTTTCCAGTGAATTATTTTCCCATCAAAACTGATGAGACCAAAGAAGTCATCTTCTGCCAGGTCATTCAAAATATGGAGTAAAGCAGTTCGGGTCTGTGAAGATTCAAAGCTTCAGGTTTACATTTAGGTTTAGTAAGACACCTTGACAGGCTTCATGTCAGTTTGAAGTTGCTGAGTGGAAGTGGTAATGCAAAATAAAGATTAATAGAAAACACTTCACCTGCTCTAAATTATAAATACATCACCTGTGTAATTTTTCTGCCATGCATTGAGCCACTTTGGTCGATAACAAAGACAACATTCTTTGGTATTCGTGGAAGACTTGATGGAGCAAAGTGATGGATAAAGTACCCATCAGAAGTCTGGGGAAAGTAAGACCCAGGATTAATAAAACACATACCAGTGAAAGAGATAAAAATATATTAAAGTCTCACTATTAGGGAAAATCCTTCAAGACCTTGCATAGACTGCAACTAGCTGGAGAGATTATGCACTGACTCAAGTACCATGACTTCCTTTCTCTTTCAAGAAAAAATGTCCAAAAACACATTCCCAAGAAATCAGTACGTACCTTAATGTCTCCAAATCCGTTGTCTCTGTTGACATCGTAAACTATAACCAGATCTCCATTCATCCCTTCTTCTCCACAGCTGTCACAATTTTTTTGTTGGTTCACTGTTGGATAGAAATGTACCCATGCCTGCAGAAGCAAGACATATTTTACCATGCAGTGTGTGGGAGAGGTTACTTTGTTAGGTGACTTTTATGCAGAAATTAAAATGTAAAGATTAGAACCAGCTATACCTGCTTATCTACATGTGTTTTAGTGATAGCATTAGCCAAGGCTTTGGTGCTCAGTCCTCCTTTCACATCAACAAAACTGACGCCGGCTTTCTCGTGAATGTGCACATCAGCCTGGCAGTTAGAAAAACAAAACAAAGTAGTTAGAAACGTTTAATGCGGAAACCTGTTAGCTGGCATCCTTGTAATGGTCACTCAACAAACCTTGAAGTCTTCGACAGGCTTCATGGGTCGAGCGTGGATCTGCAGCTCGTATTTGCCGTGGGTTCGCTTCAGCAGCTCCTCATAGGTGAGTTCAAAGGTGACCTTTTTGTGGGCCGCCACAGTTACAGAGGTTTTAAATTCCTCCATGGTTCTTCCAACAGAGCTGAAACACAGAGACATTACCATTCGATTTATCATCACTTTTAGTTATTCATGCCGTACTGAATTATAAAATAGAATCTACATTCCAACACATCTTGTGTAGGACCTGTAAGTCAATAAATAAACACTTTTACCGGACAATCCCAGCGCTTTGGCCACGGGACACAGCTCTAGTGTACTGCTCCTGAGCTTGTTCCTTAGTTTTCACGACTCCGTCAAACACTTGACCGTCCATCATCCTGCAGGTGACAACACAATCCATTGTTCTAAAGTAGCTTGAATACTCATTTTACTATGATTGTCAATATTCATAGTTGAGAACACATATTTCTTACTGAGGTCAATGAGCATTAAAAGCATCATTATTGTTAGAATCCCAGAAAATGTAAATAATATGCATTTTTAGAAGAGGTTTTTACTTTCTTTCAATTTAAAACGATATAAATGAAATCGTAGAATTGCCTTTTAAAATGTATGACTTTGGTCAAACATTTTGGGTATTTTACAATAGTTTACTGTAATTTTGGCCCATTCGTCTTGGAAGACCAGGTGAAACTGAGTGTAGCCTGCCTAGTCCACACACATTTTTCAGCAGTAACTCATATCAGGGCTTCACGATGGCCTAAAATAGAAAACTGGTGGTCCTGGAGCCACTTTGTACCTAATGTGTACAGTCTTTGAAGAAAGCAGAATGAATAATTATTAGTGAACAGACATTACTTTGGCCATCCTAACTGACTCAGCACTTAAGTTTTGTCACATTTAGTTTCAGACAATGAGGTGACAAAATGTTATTTTGCGTCTTCTAATGTGTATTTAAGGTTTGAGCTTCACTCACATTCTGAACCTACTGATGAAGGCATTCTTGGGAATCTGAACATGGAATTCAATTTCTTTTGATTCGTTCATGCGGTTTGCCACACGGCTTGTGATGACGGTGGTGGCATATCGGCTGGTCACAGTGGAGTTGATGTGAAAGCTGTAAATGTCCCAGTCATCCTGTGCAAACACAGATTTTGAAACAAGTTGAGACGTTGACCCCCAGTGGTTGACAGCAAACTGGCCAAAGATCAGAAAAACAATATGTAGGATGGTGAAATCTCATTGGTGTACCTGCAGAACACCTACGCTTTGTCCTTTTCTTCACATTTTCAATATTGCTTTTCACAATGTGAACATTTTAAGCAGATAACAGAACTGATCAGCTTTAAAATGTTCAATCTAAGAAGAGAAAAAATAACTGTCTCAATGGACGCATGATTAATTCATCATTCTGTTTCTGTAAATAATTTATCAAGCGTGAAATGAGAAGAGCTATTTTCTAAATCACACTCAAATTACTTGTCAACATTTAAAACAACACGATTGTCATACGCACTTTTTTTAATTAGATATTCCCTTCAGTTTCCCTTTTACATTTTTGTTTTAGCTTCATATTTCTAAAGAACTAACCCAAAACTAAATCCAAATCAAACTGATAATTAAGCCTCAAACTTGGCCTTCAGGTTGAATTTATTTGTACTGCTAGAAGACTTTGACCTCATGAGAAATTAGATCCCTCGAGAGTTCACGCACTAAAAAAATAAAAAGATCAATTTAAAACATCCTATAGATTGGAGAGTGCAAGTCATTCAGCATGTTTTTGTTACGCTTAATGTGTTCCAGACGAAAGGAGGACCCTTTATAGTCTCAATACAGAATAAATTGTATATTAAAGATATTTATATATAGATGTTTAATCTGTTTTAATCTGTTGTTGAAAGACAGACAGTACCTTGTTTGGTAATGACGCAGTCAAAGCCAGCAGAAGCCCAAAGACAGTAACCAGCGCCGAGGTTCTCCCCATGATGACTCGGAGCAGGATTGATCCTACAAACCTAAAACGTTTTGTCAAGCTACAGCAAAGTCATATTTTGTGGGTCGTTTTGAGCCCACTGTCTTGCATCCATTGCAAAATCAAACACTCCCACACACCAACCCACTCCCTCCACGTAAACTGAACTACAGTGTTACTCAGTGGCAAATATGGCCTTTTGTATTGACAAAAATGTCCAGATTTTGCACTTTGTCACAGTTTTCTCACATCAATTTTTGCATCAGGAAAGAAAACACCATTTTAAAAAATAACACATTTTGGAAAAGATATTGTGCTGTCAAGAAAAAATTTATTGTTGACTTTTTCAAGTATGTACATCTTTTTTTTTAGAATACTAATTTAACCAGGTTGGTAGAGAGTTGGGACAAGTGGTGACAGCAGGAAATAGCAATAATACACCTAGATTTAAATGCAAGCATTAAAGAGATTAAAGACACAAGGGTCAGTAAAGCACAAAAGAAAGACTGCATAGGAGACCCACCCAGCCCCAACAAATAAAAAATAAACATTCAAGAATCTCTGCTTTGGAGCCCAAAAGCTAAGAAATACTGTTATGCCGCTCACCAGGAATTGTGTAATTTATTTTAGGGGGAGGCATAAACACTGATGAAATTACAATTGAACTATCAAGAGTGTGTCTGGGGTCTGTGTTTAATCAATGTAAGGAACGTTAATTAGCTTCTATCCTCACCAAACCAAAATGGAAACTGATCAAAGAGAAGATTGAACGGTTTATGCCAAACATTTCATTACAGAAAGGGGAAAATATTTTTGAGGTCATAACCTGGAGGACTGAAATTGTGAGCAAAGGTCTGAAGAATAACAAGAAACGAATAAACGTTACTCCTAAATATTTTTATAACTTACATGTTCAAGCACTGGTGACTTTGAAGTAATCTTAGTCGTCACATTCTTTATTCTGTTTTTCTACGAAAATAATAGAAATAATCAGAAAATAATAGAAATAATCTGAAAATATCCACGCAATATTCTCTCCAAGTTCAGGAAGGCAACAGTATGTAAAGCTACAGATTGCAAGAGAAGAGGCATATGATGATAATGACGATGGTTTTTTTATTTATGTATTAAGTCCTTTGTCCTCTTTGTAATGTGGTTTTGTCACCAGCATTTAGCATTTCAGTAAATTCAAGCAGACTGTGGAGATGTGGCAGCTGATTTGTTGTAAAGTTGATTTGTTGGGACTCACCGTATGTGAAAGGCAACAAGCAGTGGCTTGTCGGTGGAACCAATCTAACCAGGCTTTTTATCATTTCACCAAGTGGCTTCTCTTTATAATCTAATCAAATGACGGGTTTGGACTTATCTAGTTAAACATTTTGAGTTTAAAAAGACCCGACGTAAACTCAGGTGATCTCCATGGACACCACTTAAATTAATGATTACTGATAGTGGGTGAAATATGTATCAAACATGTCAACATCTCTAATAGTCCGTTTACATGATAATATGTCAAGTAATCAAAAATAAATTGCTGCATCTCAAACTTTCTGAATGATACAGTGATGGCATCTGCAGCCATAATACAGAAGTGAAAAGAAAATAACTTCATCATAAACAATCAACAGCCACTTTTCTCTAGGAAGATTTCTGACTGATTCAAAAAAATAGTTGTCCAAAAGCAAAAGAGTACTGCCATGCAAGTTTTACTTGGGTTGACTGACATGTAGGGTGAATTACATGTTAATATAAATATTAAAAACATGTTTGCTGAGAAAAACATTTTTGTGTTTGAGGTTTATTTTATCTGCTTCATACTGTGTCATCAGTTCTCAGGCCATATGGAGTCCAGCTACCAAAAACTGAACCCAAATGAAACAGATGTTCAGCAAGAACTGAAGGCTGTTCTTGCTGTTGGACATGTTCAGAGATAATCTTCTCAGTTTGCCTAAAATGCATTCTGTTAATAATCTCGGGCTTGTGACTTTTTCAGGACTGACCAGATTTGTGGGCTGAAGCAGCTGAGAATCTCTAGAGTGGTAGATCTGTATGGAGGAGTTTAACAAGTTGTCTCCTTTGTTTCACTGTCTTGGTTGAACTTTGTCCAAGCATGAATACAAACATTTTGAGAGGCCAAAGTGGCACACTGGCTAAGGAAGAACAGCGTGACTGAAGTACTGGATGATGAACACTAAAAAAATGCTTGAACAAGCACCTACCTTTACTCACCTAGTTCTGATACTTCAAGTGTCCTGAGTAATGTAGTGTACATAGTGCGTCTTCATCAGGGTTTTGTTATGAGTCTTTCAACTTCCATATCTAGTAGTGGATGTTTGATTTATGTTGTTCACAGAAGAAACCAGGACAGCTGTAATGGGTGCAGGACTTGCACCCATTCAGCAAGAATGGGTGCAAATTTAGTTCATAAAATCTTTATGAACTAAATTTTAAAAACGTTTCCAGCTGCAGAAGTGGTGCTGACATTCTGCAACCCTGCTACTCTCAGTCTGTTTCTGGTTCTTCTTTGCTTTCTATCTACACAACTAAACGTAACCTTAATCCCCAGCCTATCCTTACATACTAACTAAACTAACATAATGTTCATTTTTGTGTATTTTTACCTCCATGTGCAGAGTAGCAGAAAACTTGTAAAGGTTTTTCTTTTCACATAGACCAATCTGATGTAACGTCATGTATTAACCAGAGAGGGTTTAGAACTGTGGGTCCATGGACTGCGGTTGGGATTATAATGATATGTATTATTAAAAAAATAAAGGAGCATTTCCATTTAACCTGAATTCTTGATAATTTTGCTGATGATGTGATAATTCCTCAAAAAGTAAACAAACAAAAAAAACAAGTCTAACACACCAAAATAAAAAGTAGGACCCCAAGGTTTGAGACCACAGTGTCATTTGGACAACATTTCTTGAGACTAAGAGTTGCTTCCTTATTTGGAGAAGATGCAAGGAGTGACCAGCTGAATAAGTTCCCATATACAAGCCACCAAAATGAATGAAAAGGATCTTTGTTTGCTGCTCTTCTACACTGACAGGAGTGGTTTGAGTAGATTGAGTACAGATGCTCTGGAAGCCTGCAGGGAAGATATGTGGCTCCATGATTCTACCTTCAATGCTTGGTGAATACTTTGGTGTCCTGCTGGGAGAGCGGAAGGAAGCGAGATTCGGAAATATTTGGAGATATCGATCAGACTGCTTCCTTTTGCAACCTTTTTACAGATACACAGCAGCGAATGGATTAATTAAGTGTAGTTTCTGCTGTCGATCTAAATGCTTTTCTGTTGAAAACTGAAATTGCAGTTCAAGGCACTCTCACAGGTGTGTTTGCACCTGAGGATAAAGTTCAAGCTCATTCAAATCTCTTAAGGATATTGCAAGCGCTTGTGCTGGAAGTGTTTCACTGATGAAGAATGAAACGTGTCGACACAACGAGCTGAGAAAGCAGAGTAAAGCAACAGGTCCTAGTGACCACAAGGTCAAGTCTTCACAGTGATGGCATAATGGTTCCTATAAGGTGCTGCAATGAAACCCATAGCTGCAGCACCAAACTATGGATCACCCTCTGTTAATTGTACAAACACATAGGCTGTGTACAGACAAACAAAAATTCATATTTACACATGGCAGCTTGTATGTATAAATATATGGGGGTGAAATGAGCAACACAATTTCTATTTCTAAGTACAAAATGAATGAACAGTACATTATGTACATTCTGTGAGTATTAATGTGCATCAATAAACACAGACAGATGTCTGCACTTCAAGGCTGATCTGGCTAATTTTAATTCTAACGATAAACTGCATGTAAAATAATCTTTACTATATTATGAACATGACATTTGTTGACTGAAATAAAACAACACAAAACTGAAGAGTGGAGATGGATATATACATATTATTAAACACATGCTGGTTAAATATATACACTCTATGCACATTATATTGACTACAGCAGCTGTAATATAAGTTAAGGTTTTGGTAACAGAGTTGGAAGACACAATGCTACCCAGATTAGAGAGTCTTTGCCTTGGGGTCAGTCAGCTGATGAGATGAAGATGAAGTCGGGCTGGAGAGGGTGGAGGGCACAGCAGGAAAGGCAAAGACCCCGGCAGAAACTGGAAAGAAAAACCCAGGCCACTGATTGTAGGAAAGAGGGGAAGGTAAAGCTGTGAACGCAGCAGGAGAGTGTAGCTGATACGTGTGAAAGGGTCCGGTCGAGGGGCCAGCCATCACTGCAGGCCCAGGGCTTTCAGGCCAGGATAAAGCGCAAGCCTCTGCACCGGGTGGAGTCCACGGTGATGTCTGAAAAGGTTGGAAAAAGAAATAATAGTAAAAATAAAAGAAATTCTCTGTGTTCATTTTGTAACTCTGTTTTAAGAACCTACATTTATAGCCTGAGGCGGCTGTTCAAGTGTTTGAGGCACAACCTGGGGGCACAGCTGCTGCCCATGGATATTCAGAGAGTCGGTTCGAGGTCGGTGGGTCACAATGAGAAACTCCTGGGCCCAGTCGTCCATTAGAACCTGCAAGTCTTCAGGCAGGTTGTTTTCACTGGGACTCATAGATGTGCCTGTCTTGTTATTGCTGTTGTTGGCCTGAGCTTGGGCCAAGCCAACAACAGGCTGCTGGGGCGGAGGCGTAGCACTGTGCATTTGCTGTGGCTGATTAAAGGCTCCAGATGCTGAAGCCCCAGACCCTAAAAACACAGAAATATAATAGATGTAGTCATTAGGACGGCCTGCTTGATAAAGGTAATCAGATTTTGATTAATGTAGAGCAAGAGATTTTAATTTGACATACTGCTGCCTCGCTCTTTACCGAGACACAGCCTTTTGAGTGTTGACCCTGTAAAATTGAAAAAAGCTTTAGGAAAACTAAGCAGTTGCCTTAAAGTTGTCTTACAAATCAAATGCAGTGCAAAATAATGGTTTTATAAAAACAAAAGAGAAAATAATACGGTACAAAAGCAAAAAAAAAAAAAAAAGTTTCTCAAACATGACAATCGACGAACACATGCATGTGAGAAACATGTCAAAATGTGTTTCTAGAGCATAAGCAGAACACAGATAGGAAGCAGCAGCTCTGAAAAAAAAAAACAATACTTTTCCAGCATGTTTTGCACAGGCCTAAATACAATTAGGTATTGCAAGACGCATAAATCACAGAACTGAATATGTGATGTAAGCAAAACAGAACTGTTGGAAAAGTATATATATATATATATATATATATATATATATATATATATATATATATATATATATATATATATATATATATATATCCCTTAACAATTATTATATAATTTTGTCTTTACATCTACAAACCTTAATTTGTTTTATTGAAGTTTTATGTAACAGATCAATAAAATTTGGAAGGTAAATGAAAAAGAAAGTCTTAAAACATGGAAATTTTGCTTGCCTCTCCATTATTTTCAGGCCACATGAATCAGTTATATTAGTGCCATATTTTGCTACAATTACAATATAAAAAGTCCTTTAGGTTATGAAATTAGAGAACAAAATGTTGGCCTTTAAAAAGTATCTCAAGCTCAGACAGACTAGACTGAAAGCATCTTTGAGTATCAATTTCTTGCCACTGGTTCTTAAATAGATTTAGTTTTGAAATTTCATAGGCATTTGTAAAATACCAGTTATATTTTGAATCAAATTGAGATAATTTAGTAACAAATATTACCATCAAGGCGAAAATGTAGCCCAGAGCATCTTCTTCTTTTTCATGAGCAAAGAACATAAACCACCTACATTTGAGACTGTGATTGTAACTCAGAAAAATGCAAGCAAGTTTAAGGTGTAAGAATACTTTTGAAAAGTATTATATTTGAAATGTGCATTATTATAAATTGACTAAATTTTGATTATCGAAACCTTAGATGTCAGAAACAATACAACTGCTCCAAAAATGAGTGAAATGTTTGATAAAATTACTGACATTCGGAGCAACTTTTTTTTTTCAATCCTAAAAGTTTATCTGACAGTTTTGAATAAACAACGTCTGTCAAAGAAGGCGGGGAGTAAGAAAACTTGTAAATAAATGCAATGCAAAAGCAAATCATACACAGATCCAGGATAGTTTTGCTAGAAAATAAATAGTGAAATCAAGGTAAATAAAGAGAATTTAAAGTAAAATCAAACAGTGAAGTTATGCGGTAAGAAAAGAGATACAAACAGATAGACAAAGACACAGGCCCACTGAGAAATCTAGCTCGTGGTTTGCTACTGGACTTATAGGTCACTCTGTCAGATGGTTGAGGGTAATTAGACCAGCCTGTAGAGAAGCATAATGAAGGGAAGAAGATGACAGGAAAGGATAAGCTCTAATATACTTATTATCACTTTGTAAAAAACACCATCATATTCATATCATTAATATCTCTTTTTTTTCTGCATGGTTTTGAGTGTTACCCTGTTCAGGTTGAGCTTGTGTGCCAACAACATCTCCTTGTAGTCCAGCGTAGATGTTATCGGAGGACATAGAGCCTTTCAGGGAGCAGGGCTGCTGAGTCTGCACCGGCTCTGAAGCCGAGCTGGGAAGGTGGCTGGTACATGACCGTGGCCTACCGTGGGTTGGGAAGGAAGTTCTGCCTGGAGAACCATTTAAACTCACTGCTGGCTCACTGGGACCTGGAGCAGCACCTGGACACACAACCATACAGGCAACATTTATCCTTATCTGAAAATAAAATGTTAGTAGCAGCTTAGGTTATGAAGAGTAACTCGCCTGGTTTAGTGGAGTCGCTGCTTTTGGTTTTGACATGCCTAAATTGCTGAACTAGGGGGCTGAGAAGTTTCCCGGGCTTCAGTCTGTGTTTGCTGGATCTCTTCCTGCGGCTTGTATGCGGAGCAACATGCAGGAGGCCGAGGCCAGGAGGGGGAACCTTACCAAGTCTGCGATAGAGCAGCTCTACCTCTCCCCGTTGATGTGCTTGCAGCTCTGAGATTTCCTTCAGATGTCTGAATACATGGAGGAAGGGATTAAACCATGAGAAAATGTCCAAAGGGTATGACTATTAAGTAATTTCACATGAGGAAAAGGACAATCTCACTTCTCTCTGAGTCTCTGCAGTTCTCTCTTTATGTCTGAGTCCTCCATCTCGGAGTCATTGTCACTGCTGGCGTAGGCCGAGCCAGGCAAGCCTCCATGTCTGCTCGGGGAATCAGAGCTCTGCACGCTGCTGCTGCGGCCAGTACGACGGAGAAAAGCCACTGCTCTTTTCATGAGGTCACTTCCTCTGCGCTCAGAGCGAGCGTACTGGGACGGAGTGGCAGGAGCCAGCTTAGCAGGGCTGCTCTCTGCTCCTGAGTCTGCAGGAAGGAAGGAGACAAGGACTGTGACGTCCATGGGGACGGAGTTCGAGGTCTGAACATGAGCTCTTACCCATGGGAGGTGGAGTGTCCAGGTAGAAGTCGGGCGGGGCAGAGTAGCGGCTGCACCGCGTCCTCTGAGTGATGTCATCTTCTGTGCTCACCACAGAGAAACGTCCGATGGTGGTGGAGGTAGCCAAGGCTTCAGGTGGAACCGGGTCCCCGTTGTATCCACCAGGGTGTGCAGGGGAGGCAGCGCTGCTCCAGCTCCTCTGCTTCACATCTCTTCTGTTGGCCACTTCAGGAGGAACAGAGATGATCTGGCAGAACAAAGGAGGAAGATTCAGGAAACACTGTGACAAAGTATGGATTTTGTATTTTCAATTCAATTGTTGTCTCGAAAAACTTATGAATAAGTAGAGAATGATGAGACTTATTGTTTTCAAATAAATACATAAAGATAATGGAATATGTTTCACATTTGTCATTTTATTCACAGTGATATATTCTCTTGGTTATCAGAAGAAAGGAACAAAAACTTAATAACACCTGGACTAAAACTTTTCCATCTATTCATTTGGTATTTGTCATTTCTAGATATAAAATTTGTTGGCATCTGAACACTTTCAAAGTTTTGAGATGGCAAAGATCTGAGAATATTGTTTGTAAAATAGCTGCAGGACAATCTGGTCTATTTTTATAAGATAATAAAAGTAGGCAGTATACGCAGTAGCAGGAACCTGAACCAAGTAGAAAATGCTCTCCCTAGTTCTCAACGCAAACAAATCTGACGATTTCCCTCATTTAGAAAATATTACAGCCTCTTTTTATTCTCAATATATATTTTATTAACTATCAGGAAAAAATGTACAACAACAAAAAATCTGTGATTCAGAAAGTCTGTGTGAGCTCTAAAATGTTATGTTTAAATGTGATAATACTGTATAATGCACAGAGATTAAAAAAAACAAATGTTGAAAAAAATAAAAAGTGAAACTTTGACACCTTGAATCGACCTCTAGTTCCAGAGCAGGACACAGAGTGAGGAACGTGTCTTCTTGACAAAGAAGCTAGAAGGCAGTAAACAAATCACTGAGTATAACAAGCCATCATGTAAAATGTAAGTGAAAAATTAAGAATCTTAAAGTTCAGTTCATGTCTTTAGACAGATTAGTTGCACGAACCACAAACGGCGGAGTCGCTCAGAGTGCTCAGGCTGTCCATTCTCTCAGGAATTTGAGGCTTACAGGAGAGATAGAATGAAAGATAAAAAGCAAGAAAATTTAGATATGAAAGCATTAAATATTTTTGTAACATTAAATAAAATGACTGCACCTCAGCAGTCCAGTTTTTTCTCAGCACTGGCTCAGCAACTAAACAGTTGCTCCACTTATTCAAACCTCAGAGTGTGTTATATTGTACTTACAAGTTGCTCTCCTGCCCGGTAGCGTCCCTCCCCTATCGGCCCCGGGGTGCTGTTTCCTGACCCTCCAGTGGCGCTGTCCGGGCCCGGAGGAAACTGGATGTACTCTGTCCCAGATCCCGGTGTCTCTGCCGCGGTGCCTGATGGATACATGGGAGCATATTCCTGGTAGAGCAGGTTCCTCAGTTTTTCATCCAGAGTTTTAATGGTGCTATCGACGAAACCTCCCCGACCGACCCGTCCTTCGCCATCAGATTCGCTTGGCCCCACGCCGTGCTGGGATGGTGCCGGGCTCTGGGGCAGCGAGGACACTTTAGAGCCTCCCACGTTGGAGAAAGGCTGGTGGAGGATCACTGGCTGCTGTGGCAACTCGCTGCGCGCTGTAGGAGCATAGGAGACAGATGTCGACTCTTTGGTGGCACCCAGCTCCAGGAGGGGGAGAGGGGTCAGAGGTGACCTGCCCTGGGGAGGGTTCACATCTAAGGACAGGGGCATGACGAGTGGACAGCAGGGCACCTCATCAACAATGGACACTGAGTGGGTCAAATCGAGGGCCTTCTGAGCTCCGTGGGTAGGGGAGAGCGATCCAAGAGGAGATTCCTGTGGGTCCTCCACTGGGTAAGAAGTGTGGAGCAACGATGGGGGAAACGTTTGAGCCTTGGCTGGGTTGGCTCCATGCAAGCTGGGCTGCAGAGAACTGCCTGCAGGCTCCATTGCAGACACTGACTGGAGCGTGGCGGGGGCAGACACAGGGGGCGACAGGGTGGCCAAGAGGAGTGGGTCAGTGTTGGATGTTATTGGAGGGCTGTAGAAACCATAAACTTCATGAGCGAACCCTCCACTTCCACCAGACATTGTGGAGGATGAACCCTCTTCTACAAAAAGGATAAAAATATCAAAATGTTTAAATTAACTTAGTTAAAATCAGACATTGTCAAACTCACAGCTGAAGGGTTTCTGTATTTTATGTTTTCTCCTACATATTATGATGTTTCTAAGTTATTTAAGTGCCCAAAGGTCTGTATTATCATTATTATTATTATAATAATGATAATATTATATTATCATTATTATATTATAATAATAATATTATCATTAATAATATTATCATTAATATTATTATTATAATATTACTATTATAATATTAATGATATAGAAACATAATGGGGATGTTTCTATTGTTTGGAACTTAGCAAACTTTTCTAATACAACATTAATACAACAACATGGCGTCTCTGTTTTTGATTTAACTTTAGAGAAGCTAAATCTTGTTTGCGTTCGGTCTAAATCTGTAAAATAGGCAAGGCTAATAATTTTGTTTACCGTTAAAAATATGAAAAAGATGGTGTGGATTTGAACCCAGTTTCCTTGTGAAGTTACCTGAAGGTCTCAGAGGTTCATTAGGTTTGTTGTTAGGGAACATTAGTGAAGAAACAAACATGGAGACCAAGAAACACAGAAAATAGCTCAGGGACAAAGTTGTTGAGAAGATTAAAACAGAATTCGTTTGTAAAACATGGCTTGGAAACCTTGTGGTTCCTCAGTGGTTTCCAAGCCCTCAGTGGAAAATGTATGGCTATCCAGTTAAATTGACAAGTTTGGCTAGTGGAGCATTAATCATGCAGCCGAGAGACCATTGAAAAAAAACAGAAGCCTCTTTTGCAGTTTCTCATAAGCAAGTTAGGCGATACAGCTGATGGGAAGATGGATGGACCAAACCAAAGGCTGCAAAAGACCTGGCTACAGCCAGAGCTTCCAACTGAAACAGATTATTGTGATGAAAGTAAATCTCACAGTGTCTCAGGCAAAATTTAAAAACTCATGTTTACAAATGCTCTTCATTGCAACTGACTAATGTTGGGCTATTTCACAAAGATAGAGGGTCAAAGTGAAAAGATGGATGACACATGTGCCAAAAGACTTGCAGCTGCAGCTGCATTTACAAAATGATTTACAAAATATTTATCCTGAGTTGCTGAATACAAATGCAAATACAAATGTCAAAAAAAAAAAAAAACAGGTGAAGATTCATTTGTTTAATTAAAAAAATAACCAACGTTGTGGTCTTTATTTTGTCACCCACATAAAACTGAAGTGTCAATAATCACAATATTTTGAGATCTATTCAGCCTACAATATGGTGGTAAGAACAGGAAAATACATTGAGAGAAATAATAAAAATCTTGTGTAAAAAAAATAAAAGCTTCAATAAATTTGGGCTCATGTTGAATTCACCAACTGAATTATGCTTCACATTGTGTTGGGCAGTCAGAAAATCCCAACAAAATACACTGAATCTACTGGTTAAAATGTGACATAACATGAAGAACAATTTATTATGTTGTGAATGCACTTGTCTGAAGCTTTGATTGAATAATTGTGATAAATAATTAAGATGTTGGTTAAGATGTACAAATATTGTTTTCATCTATGTTTTCTATGTTTTCTCACTGTACGCACTGGAAGTTGTAAAGAACCTTCTAGACTATTAATGTCTAGAAGGTAAATACTTCTATACATCCCTACTTAAAGGATTTCATTCTGATGCCACAAGGGAGTGCTGTTGTACCATGTGGCTACCAGACAGTCACCTCTGGATGTGGACGGCTTTGCAGTGGTGCTGTCAGCAGGCTGGGTGTTGGCTGAGCTCCCAGGTGACTGCGTCGCTGTCCCCTCAGACGGAGTGTCCTGAACGCAGGGAGGCGTCTCCTCCACTGGGCAAATGATGAACCATCTCTTCCCTGTGTGAAGAACTGCAGTCCGAAGCAAAAAGCAACAGTAAACACTCACATACTGTATGTCGAAGGGAAAACAAAAGGGATACAATGAGGACTTGAATTTACCATTCTGCTGATATACAGGCTGCGGTGCGCCTGACTGCTGACTCTGCAGAAAGATTTACAGACATGAGTTTTGCCTGATAGGTTTTTATTTCGGCATACACCGTGTATTTGTGAAGATCCGGCTCTTACCTCTCTGGCCTCAGACATCTGGCCCTGCAGAGGACTGCAACTCAAAGTTGTGTCTTTTTCATCCCCCATGTCTTCATGCAGCATGTCTTCTGCTTTGTCCACAATGTCTTTCAGCTGATCAATGAAGATCTCCTTCTCTAACAGCAAAATGAAACCGTTCTCCACCTACAAACATTTTAGTCTTAAACATTGTATAGTGTCATAAACAAAACAACAACAAAAAAAGTAGCACATTCAATTATAATTATGTAAGCTGACCATATAGGTGGCAATTTCCTCCGGAGCGTCTCCGTCCAGGTCAAACTTAAATGTTACCATTTTGTGGTTGTGAGTCTCCAGCTGACATTCAACCATTTTGTCACCAGTGTTGCAAACCTATGAGGAGAACAAATGCACCTTACTTTTAAAGACATTGAATTTTATTGATTTGATGATTTTTACTGTCATAATTCACCATGTGACTCACATTGAGCATGCTCAGTTTGGGTTTGCTGGTCCTCTCCTGCCTGGAACGTGTGCGAGCAGACTTGCGATGATGCTTCCTGGGTTTTGAGTCACCTTTGCTCCCACTTGCTAAGCTTTCATAGCCATCGCTTGTTTCCCGACCCGAGGCTACGTCAGAGTTAACGCTAAACAAAGGAATTATGAAGAAATAAAAACTCGTCCTTCTGCTTGAGACGAACACATCTAACTAAATAGACTTAATACACACCTGTCGTAGGTGTAACTGGATAGAGATATCGCTCTGTCACGAAGAACATCCTGAAAAAAAATACAATTTGCTTTATTAGTTGTAAAATATCAGTCACAACTTGATATACTGCTTGAATGTCTTCTTGAGCTTACTTGACGATTATTACGTTTATGTACCATGCGACAAATACATTTTTAAAACAGAAATTTGGTGGACAAGATTGTTTATGTATTTTCTCAAAACTAAAAAGGGGCAAAATGATAAATACAACATCTTGTAGCAAGTTGAAGACAAATATACTCAAAGTTCAGATGCATATTTGGCTACTTCTGTTATAAGAATTAGTAAAGCTTATTTAATTGGTTGGATTTTTGCACAGACAAAATGAATAGGACCTCACATAATTCTAACATTTTTATGTGAAAACTTTTCCAGACTTTGTAACATTCTTACTCCTTTACAGTAGCTTTAAAATATTCCGTACTAAAGTTTATTATAAAATTATTGTAGGAATATCTACAGTGAGCTTTCCTCACATGAGAAACCTCAAAACATTGGAAGGAAGGAAGGAAGGACTGAATCCTACCTCTGCGCAGATCTCCTGCTGAAAGCTTCCAGGGAGAGATGTTGCCTCCACGCTGTGCTGAGCCAGGCTGCCAGACTCAGACACTGGGACTGTTGTGTGGACGCCAGTGGGCTGCAGAACTGAAACTCCAGCAGCAGCAGCCTGACTCGGCGCTGACAGACTGACAGGAGCTGAGTCTGAGACCAAACCTGGCGTGGAGATCTGCGTTGCAGCTGAGCTCACAGAGGAGACCATTGTGAGCTCGACGGTGAAAGTCGACGCAGATATTGGTGCCTGAAGTTGACCTGAGGCCACAGACTGCAGTGTTTTTTGAGCTTGTGTCGGAGTCTGAGGTGCTCCTGCAGCCTGAGCTGACCCTGGAGCTGGAGGCGGCGTTTGCACCAGGGCTTGGGCTTCAAACTGAACCATAGTCGAGACGGAAACTGAGGCTGGAGCAGGGACTGGAGTCGCTGCAGCTGCAGGAGATCCTGTGTCCATTCTGCTTCCCCATATGGGAGTCTGTCCAGTGGGCAAGACAGGCGGAGCTGTTTCCAAATGCTGAACATCTATCAGAGTCCTATGGGGAGCAGCCACCTGAGAAATGAACAAAAGAAAAACACCATATTTATGAGAATGAGCAATAATTGAATTCACTCTCTTCTGAATCTCCGAAGGCATGCCCTGCATGCATTACGACCAACAATACAGACACCACCTCAGATTTGTCAAGGCCGAGCCATTACAGCGAGAACGGAGTCAAATATTCACCTGGACAGGCTGGTCAGCCAGTTCCTGCTCAGGGTGGGGGGCAGGGAATGGGGTGGGTTGTACCTGGGAGAAAGGTAAGGGATGGGTGGAATGGAGGCTACTGGCGTGCTGCTGAGATGTGTGTGGGCCAGCCTGCTGCTGTGGCACCACAGGGGACTTGGCCATTCCCAAGTGAGGAAAAGGCAGAGACAAACTAGGGACATTTTGAGGCGTGGACATGGGAGTCTGAGGAGTCCCAAGAGACGGTATAGATGTCAGAGCTGTGTGGGGCGTGAGAGGCAGAGGGGGAAGGAGAGGTGAAGGTGAGTAGTAAGAGGTAGACATAGCAGCGTCGCTGCTGCTGAAGGTGGACGGCAGAGAAGCTGGGGAAAAGGGAGCGGGCATGTGAACGACAGGATATGGAGAGGAAAACTGGGAAAGAAAAAGGAAAAAGGAAATAAAATGAACAAAGACAGCGAGTCGGTACATTTAACATTCACACAGGTCGTCTGGTTTTTACTGCAACACTGCAATGTCCCATGTGTTACAATGTTTTCTCGCTTTTTTTTTTTTTTTTGCTTTTTTTTTTTGGTTCTATGTGTTTATGGCAACAGCACTCTACCACAACACACCTGTGTGCTGATGGGCAGGGGCAGGACAGTAGGAGCACTGCAGAGCGGAAACCTGCCAGCAGAATCCGGAGGACTCAGCTGTGACGACGGCTGATCAGCAGAAAACAACTAAGGAAAGAAATCAAATATCGATTTCTTTTCATTTAAAAATATCTTTTCTGAATTAGCTTATGTTTAAAAGTATTACTGTTTGTTGACAATACAATGTTTTTCTTATTGGAAGCCTGACAAGTTTTTAGGAAATTTTGTGGGATTTTTTGTCACAAATGCATTAAAGTTAAAACAATGTGTCGAGAGAGAGAATATACAGATGGCTATGCAATTTTCTGGTTTTAGATGTGTGAAATTACTATTTTAGTGCTTTAGTGCTCTAAATAACGAGCTTCTTAAATCTCTTCCGCAATGTGTCTGATAAGCGTCAATCCTTTGCCAACTTTGCTTGTCACAGTTCCAGTTTTTTTCAAGCTATCTTATTCAAAGTTTTTCCTCTGCTGTCCAGAAGAGTTAAGTTAAACAAGGTAGTTAGATTTTTGAGCAAAAACAATTTGTAAATAAATGGAGGTCCAAAAAACTAAAATGCATCATCAAAATTTTGGGGGTAAATAATTTTCTATTGGCCTGGGAAGATTTTGTCAGACAGTTTCTTTGCAACAAGAAACTGCCTGAGTCACGCTTTCTTTGAAAATGCTTGCTATATTTAGGCAAGGTTACTAAATGCGTCAGCCTGTAAGTAAGAATTACTAGATGGTTTTGCTTCTAAAATTAAATCAAATAAGATTTATATAGTATGTATTATATACCCTGAAACCTTTTTAAATACCCCATCTGCATCAGTTGCCTGTGCTGAAAGGACAAATGTGCCTCAAGTCTCTTGAAGGCCGAGGGCCACCTACTGCCCTTTGGAAACCTACGATTTAATTACTGTTCAGGCTGTAGAGTTATACAGTAATATATTTTTAAGAAGTATTATCTGCTGTTTTAAACCACGAGATATAAGGTCTGAAGCACTGAAACAGATGAGCTTCTGGAGCAGCTAATTTTGAAACTGTTACCCTGCGTGTTTTGCAGTGTACAGTCTACCTGAGACAGGACAGCAGCTGGCTGGAGATGACACTACAGGGAGAGGAGACAAATGGGAAACAAACACAGACCACATAAATAGAGTTTTTCATACAAACGGGTGCACACGGAGTACATACACAACAATAAAGAGCTGTGCAGCAAAAGGAGAAACACATTTTTATCTTTTTATCCATGCTACGGATGCACTATTTAAAGCAAAAAATCTTGGGTGCTATTTATTTTGTTAATAAGAGCAAAATTCAATGAATGGGTTATTGTTAGGTAGTCACAGAGGCAAACACGTGTACAGAGAACACATGTTGATGAGAGAATGAAAGGAGCTTAAAAAGATCATCTGATGGCCAGACTCCTCTGTTCCAGATCTAATGTTATCCCTGCAAATTACAATGTTAAAGGAGGAATGAATTGCTTTCTAGGACACTGCATAATGTTCTTTATGGATCCGTTGACTGACTGGAGCAGTTCTGGGGGCACAGACAGGATGTGCCCAATACTGGGTGAGTTGTAATAGTATATGTGACATTGCCTCTATTGGACGGCATATTTTTCTTTCTCTCTCTCTCTCTTCCGGTGAGTTCAGAGGTCATTCAGAGTTTGCAGTACCTGCTCCTGGGTGGACTGGACAGTAAGATGCGTCTGCAGAGTCGGAGTTGCAGCTGGGAAACTCTGGGATGTCTGTCTGCTCTGCTGCACAGGGGGCACTGGAGTAGCTGGAGCAGAAACCGTCTGTCACAAATACAATCAGGAGACCACATTTAATTAAACTTTTTCAGACATTTGATTTTTTTTAAAAAATTTTCTGCACATTCCTAAAGAGATTTAGCATGTGTAAGCAGCAGCTGTCAATGACATGAAACTCAGGGAGATTTTTAGGGGATGGGCAGGTTGCATGTTTGTCAGGGGAAGTTTCATTAAGAAACGGAAGTTGCAACAGTGGTTAACTTCACTGCAAGTGAACCAAGGAACTGAGTTTATGCTGCGAATTAAGCAGAAGCAGAAAACTGGTTTTTGAAAGGACAAAAACTGCTGGTGGAATTAGGAGGGATACTGACCAATGCAGCTATGTTGCATTCAAACTACATATCGGCTCCTTTTCTCACATACCATGTGATCTGCTCTGCCTTTGCTGCAAAGTGATGACAGCACCAAGTTCTCATCAAAGTTTGGGGTTCGGGAGAGAGGGGCTTCCAGGCTCTGACTTTTCGCTTTATGTTCAGTTACAGAGTACTTGGTGTCCTCGATGTGGCTGTGGAGTGGGTGATTCACACCTCCTCTTTCAGGGAGGGTGGGAGAGCTGGTTCTGCGACTGACAATGTGATGGAGACAGTAGTTGAGAAGGCGGAGTTCTCCACCTTCATATAAACCTCGTGAAAACACGACTGATGGGGATGTGGAGTGGTGTGAAGGTGAGGCAGCCTTGCTTGGCTTGGTGTTTGGTGATGGTTCAGCAGGTGAGCCCAACACATGAGGTAAAGTGGCCTGTGAAGACTTTAACAAATAAACAGAGGTAGATGCGTCTAAATTGGAGGTGCTAGAAGTGCATCTGTGCGACCCGCCTCCTTCCATCTTGTCTTTAAAGAGGAGAGACATGCAAGCTTTGCACTGAGGCCGGTGACGCTGTGGGCTGCGTGGCACGCTAAGACGGTGTGCTGAGGGAGGTTGTAAAATCAGGGGAGGGTGAGGTGAATTTGAATAACTTGCTGAGTCACGGAGAGAAAGCTGATGCGGAGGCAAGAAAGGAGATAATAATAATGAGGGATTGTTATCCCTGTTATGGGCATCGTTTGAGAATAAGTAATCTGCAGAACGCAGTGAACTCTGTGAACTGTCAGAAGAGGAGAGATCTTGCAAAACACTTTGGTTCTTTATCTGGGAGAGGGAGTGCATCCTGCAGTGTAGCATCTCTACTGTGGGGGCACTGCCACGCCTAAGACACGCTGTGCTTTCAGTGGCGAGTGGGTTCTTGTGACATACAAAAGGATCACTGTAGTGGCGCTGATCAGGAATCCATTCAGAAAAGAAGATAAAACATTAGGTTTTTGCAAAAATAAATAAATGAATAGGATTTAAAAGGACATATCAATAAAACATAACAGCAACTACTCACTGTCTGACACTGAAAAGGCCCGTGGTGCAGTTGTGCCGCAGGCTGTTGGAAGGTCCCAGGATGCAGCTGATCTGCTGTGGGTTGCTGGTAGGCTCCTTGGTGTGGCTGTGTGGCTGACTGCTTGTTGTTTTCATGCGAGGTCTGTCCTGCAGATTGCTGGTAGGATCCTTGGTGCAGCTGGGAGTCAGGTTGTGAAGGAGGACTGTAGAGCATCTGTGCAGTAGAAATGGGTTCTGGAAGTGACTGGTAGGGACCGTTCTGCTGATTGCTCAGAACGTCTAATTGCACGTTGGAGTTCACTCCGCTGTCAGCTGTAACAACACAGAGAATGAAACATTATAATTCACCATGAAAAGCCTCTGAAGGAAAAACAGATAGTAATGAAGGATCGAATGAGGCTGTAATTGGAATTTAAATTAGGGGTCATGGTGTCTGATTGCTTTAATTTTATTTCATGGCGCTGAAGTCCTATTTTTCAATCTCGACTTCAGGTTGATTCTAAGGCATTGCAAACATATGGAAAATATATTGAAGCTAGTGGTTATAACCATGTAATAAAATATGAACAGATCCAGAGATAATAAAATCAGTGCAACAAAGATGTCATTTTTCATTGAGCTTCTTACATGTGGCAGGTGTGATAACAGGAACAGTGCAGATCAGAGTCTCTTGGTCCTCACAATCTGCAGTGGTGAATGTGGTTTCCTCAGGTGGACCAGTACCAGGGACCTGCAGAAGGTTCTGCTGCATCTTCTTCACTTCACTGTTTCCATTTGGTGAGCCAGTCCTTGCCCTTCTCCATTTTATTAGAGCCACACGATCTCTGATAGATTTACCAACTATCTTTACATCACATTCCAAGAAAAATCCTGATTCCACCTACAAGAAACAGACAAGAGTCTTGTTAAAGGTAAAATTAAATACATAAAGGTCAAACTGAGTACAATGTATGCAAAATATAAATATGCTTCTATCATGAGTCATTCAAAAATTTCAGCTTTGTATATCTATTTGCAAAGAAATAATCACTAGATCAGTTCCTTTACCATTTCTTGTGCAACTACTTCTGGAACTTCTTTCTCCAAGTCGAAGGTAAACTCAATAGCACCAGTGTCCTTATATTTTCCCTTTAACTTTTTAGGATCTTCAACCCACAGCTTTAAAGCAATGGTTGATTTTTTTCCATCGTCCTCCTCATTTAGCTCAACCCTAACTCCTGTGTCTTCAGCAAAATATGCATGGTTCAGGAGGTCCTTGATGGAGTACCTGCAGAAAACACACAAACACTTCTGCACAACAGATCTTTACAGTGGCAACGCACGCTCAGATCCAAATACGGGCATTAACGTCATGCCGCCAGAGCTGAAACAAAATGCAACGCGAACACAAAGGTCCAGCTCCACTACCTGCATTAGGAATGTGTTTCAGACCAACTCAGATGTCTTTGGCAACTTACCGTTCCTCCCATCTGTGGCAGATACACTCCCCAATAATTTCCTTTATTTCTGGGTCACTGACTTTGCCGTAGCTGGCAGGCTTCACCCCCTGAAAAGCAAACCAGGAACTCACTCACTAGGAAACAAGTTCTCATCAGTAATACTATACATTGTGACTAGGAGAAATTTGATTAAGCAATAAAAAAAAGCAATAATTTACCTCGATATCTACAGATTAAGGATTACAGAGATACATAGTGCAGGAGGTAAAAGAAGATTTGCTTGCAAGTGGAGACTGGATGTCAATCTAAATGAGGCTGAAAGGGATTACTTGCTTTGGTTTGATGGAAATTGAGGGTCAATATCAGTTTAATCATCTTGATCAGCTAGTTTTGAATTTAACTTAAGAAATTAATGCATTCTTGGCTTTTCTGCTCTGAACATCTAAGCCTTTAATTAGACTTCTGTCCTCAGCCTGTGGTTTTCTGTCAGTCATCTGGTGGTATTTTGGAACTGTTTGTCTTTGAAAACTTGAAAAAAAATACTAAATTGGTCTTTAGCTATGGGTGTGCACGAACACAGTTTTGTTAAACTCCATTGTGGTTTGCACCTGATTTCTGAGCGCTCTCAATGCTGACTGAGAAAAAAAGAGTGAGAAAGACTGATTGTCAGAGAAAAACACAGAACCATCAAAAAAGTTCTGTCTCAGCAGATTCTATTGTTGGCCTGATCCATCCGCAGATTCAGCTGGCGTTTTTATTATTTACTGTAAGTTTTTATGGTGTTTCTGTCTCACCACCTTTACAGTACAAAAGCTGGAATCAAGCTAGGTTACTTTTTTACAGTTCAGTTCTGATGAAATCACAGAGACCCTCACCCTGTTCATCAGTTTATATATGAGTTGCAGCTGCCTAATTTTATATTGCCACTAAAAATGCTCAGTTACATTTCCCATCCCAATATATCAACATAGATTATTGTGACAGTAGATTAAATTTTATATTTATCATTTTTATTCTTTGTCTACTAATAAAAGTTACAAAAACAGTGACAGAAAAAGGAATTGTCTGCTATCAAAACCCAAAAATTGCAGACTGTGCATCTTAAAAGGAATATCCACTATGCTACTGTATCATGCACAATGGCAGTCCATTAAATCTGTTTAATTCTATTCTATCACTCATTTCAATTTGCAAAAAGCAAAAGTATTCAGATTGATATGTTTTGTCATGATATAAAGAGGTAGTAACCACATATCATGAAAGTGAACTTACACTTGTGACTTTGCGATAGATCTGAGCAGCATTCTGACACTCAGAGTAAGGGTACTCCGAGGTGGCCATCTCCAGCATACACATCCCAAAAGCATAGACATCCACAGCTTCGTCATAGTGCTCCTCATACATCTCTGGAGCCATAAACTCTGGAGTACCTGGAACATGTAGGTATGTGTGTTAAATATTTACACTTTTTTTATGTTATCAGTGTTCAAATGCTAGCTGCAGCACAGCAAAGATTAAATATTTTGCTAATGTTGAAGGTTCGGCTTTAAATGGATCACAGCAAAACTCTATGTATGGATAAACAAGTGACAAATTAACAGAAAATTAAGCATGCAGTTTTTTTAGTTGGGTGTTTGGAACAAAATCCTCTGTTCAAATCTGTTTCTATAATAATGCAAATGTTTATAAATATTTTCATTTACATTAACATCATTGAGAGAACTGTCTTACATTTCATCATTATTAAAAAGTTTGAAATTGTGGATATTAGGGACTATAGCTTTGGAACATCACCAAGATGTCCTGTCATCTCTTATTTCAGAAGGAAGCATCGTCTTCCTGGAAAAGACCCATGAGGATAGGCTTGCATTCTTCCAGGAAGTAATCAGTCTGAACAGCTTTCTGCTGACTTGCAATGCCTCTTCCATATTTAAGAGGCAATTGGTAGTATGCATAATAATGACAATAAAATAGTAGAAATGTTCTCCTCTCTGGGGTCTGGATTTTGTGTACATGCAGCTTGAATGTACACCTGCAGGCTCAGACTGATGTGTTATTGACCTGCTCCATAGGAGACCTTTCCTCCTATATCCTGATCTCAATCAGGATATAACATTCTGTGCAGATCCTAAATTCTGAGATATTCACTGCACACTTTTGAGTGCAGTGAATAGCTGCACTCAAGTGTGACTGAGCAAAATTAATATTTGCATAACAAATACCAGGAGCCAAGTCCTAAAAAATTACTATATTTAGTTTGTTATATTATTATGTGGACTTTTTAAAATTTTAATTATTTATCAATTGCATTTACTTACTTCTGTGTAGATACTATCAGCTAAAAATTACAAAGTATAATTTTGTGGTATTTTATCAGTAAGGTCAACAATATTGAATAATCAAACAGATTATATTCAAAGGGAATTCCTTAGTTGTAATTCCCATATCCACCCCAGGAACTGTGCCACACAAACATAATTAAATCAAGAGCTTTTAATAAAAGCTGAAGTTCTTAAGACATATTAATATAAATATTTATTATATTAACATTAATTCATATATTAATAATATATTAATATCAATTATATTAATTATATATCAACTTAATTAATAATTGTAATTAATCAAAATATATTATCAATTGTCACTGTTGTGATATTTTTTAAGTAGACAGCTGTCACACTTCTCTGAGTATGAATTAAACATAATCCAGTTATAGGATGTAGTTTAGACATCAGTCACTATGAGCTGGTTACTAAGGAGACTCATAGTCTTTCTTATGAAAGCTCCTCCTGAAGCTTGGACTTTAAAGTCCACTATATTGCTATTTATATCTTAACATCCAAAGAAAGATGTTACTGAATCAATTTCCGTCTGATAAGAAGGAATTACGTGTCGCAACATCTGGTTGTTTTCTTTTAATTTGTCACCAATCTGGACATGTGAAGAAACTGTTCTTTCACAAAGTTAGTTCTGTTGCAGCCCTGGAAACTGACAGAACAGGATTACAATTGTTTTAGCTAAAAAAAAAAAAGGGATAAGCCAGCAACTAACCAATAACACTTTTGGCAAAAGAGGCCCTCTTCAGTGTTGCTAATCCAAGATCTCCTATTTTGACAGAGCCAGTTGGACCAGTGATGAAAATGTTGTCACACTTGAGGTCTCTGTGGATGATGGGAGGTGTCCTTGTGTGGAGGAAATGGAGGCCTTTGAGAATCTGCCGACACCACCTTCTCAGGACTTTGGGCTTCATAACCTTGAAGCGCTTTAGATACCTGCAAGAAGACAAAAATACACTCTCAACTGTTCCAACTCATATGCATAAAGATATTAGTTTTTTATATATAAGATAGATTGATCTTTTTTAGAGGCAGTCTGATTATGACAAATACGTCTTTAATTTATAAAATTGTTTAGCTGCCTAAACAAATGGATGAAAAGTATAAATGATGTATACTTTTATGAAAGTATAAAAGTATTAAATTAGGTTTTTGAGACCTCATTTAAATATGAGGAAACATATTTAAATTGTTTCATCATTTAAATATGAGGTCTCAAAAGACAATAATCAATTATTGTCACAAATTCTTACGTTTTCAGAGTTCCTGATGTCATTAGCTCTGTCACAAGGACGATGCACTTCTTCCCTTTTACTGGTGACTCCCAGAAGTCATAAAATCGCACGATGTTGGGATGCTGCAGGGCCTTCAGCATCTCTGCCTCCTCTTTGAACCGCTGCCTCTCTGCTTTGGATAGTTTCCTTTCCTGGGAGAAGGAAGGAAAATCTGTGAATTGATATCATTTTTTCCAAAACTCTTTGGAAAAACTTATCCAGACATGAAAGTTATACTTTTCTTTTTTTGTTCTTCTTTTTTAATGAATAAGGGTTTTGCATTGTACTTTATGTCAAACTCACAGGCCCATAGGAGGTGAACTGTATTAATATTTTGGAATTTTTATAAATACAAACAATACTCAAGTATTTTCAAATCATGAATATATACTGTATCTGCAAACAACATGAAGTTACTGATCAGCAGATGTAATAAACCTATCATGCATCAATTCTGCTTATAAATAGATCTACCTATTGTATTCCAATTTGTATTAGTAAAATACTTTTTCTGTACTAGGAGGACAGCAAAACCAAAACATCCTTGTAAATCCGGCCCTGTCTGCCTGTCATGTATCAAGTCCAAAGTCAGCCTGGACGGTCACTTGGACAATTTAGAGATTTGTATGTGTCCCTCTGCTGTTCAGCTTTATAGAGATGGGAAAGATGAGAAACATCAGACACAATAATGCAACATTTCCATTATATTCTGCGTCAGCTTTTCACTTTGTTGGACAGATTTAACAAAAGTACCATAATAACTTTTAACCTGACTGAAGCAGTGAGTTTGACTGGGGCTCCCATAGGATTGTCTGAAGCTCGTGTTTGGAGTGAATACAGCGTTGGCATTTTGATCTAGCTGAACATGGGGGTCTGACCCATTTACTCTCTTTTTGAGCATTGTTTATAAAACATACAAATCCTAAACATCTCAAAAACCCACAAGTGGGATCAACACATAATCAGAGGACGGATGAGTAAAAGCCTCATTGTTTTGACTGAAGCGGTAAAACAGACAAAGTCACATCTGTCAAGGCTAATGCACAAGATTTCTTCATTACCATAAAGCTCAAAGGCGTCAACACAAACCCGTGGCTTTGATGCAGCAACTGCATCCACCTTCGAAGACGTTAAAACTTTAATTTTCTGTGTACTGTGCATCTGATTGAATCTGTTTAGACTGGATCAATATTTTTGACCCCTGCCCTCCCTGAACTGTTGTATAAATAGTGAAAGAGCTGACAGCAAACACCTTCTGCATCGCATTTTTCTCTCCAGTCAGCAGTAGAGCAGCTACAGCGGCCACAAATTTCAAGCCGTCTTCTGGATTTCCGCTGTTACTTTTCCAATAAGGACAATATAACTGGAAGAAATAGGTTGCAGTTCCCGTTTCAAATGAGTAGGGTGCTCAGTAAGTTCATACACTGACTCATGGTGTTGGTTATTGACTGACAAAAAGGAATCGGATTTCACTCAGCGCCCACTGTGACCTGTGCAGCCTAATGCATCTTACATTATGCAGCTTCTGAAGCTACCTTTGTGACTCAGGTTCTTACTGAAGAGCCTGCATTGTCCTTATGTCCCTTTTGCTTCTTTTTAGGAAGTTTGCAAACAGTTTAATAAAGATGCTTCACAGGGAGAAAGTCTCTGTTAATCAAGGTGTGGCATCAGATCTGCTGCACATGAAGATCATTTAGCAGGAAATACAGTACAGACACTTATATTTAAATGCAAAACATGAGGACCAAATGTGCACATATATTGAAAAATTATTTCTCTGCATCACATTCTCCATATTTGCTGCTACCCTTAGCCAAACCCAGTCTTTCCTATCTCATCTGTGTGTTGGTGCAGAGAGCTGCATCAGCAAGAATCTCTCCAAATATATAAGTGTTTAGCAACAAAACAAATAACCGGTTGCAGTGCGAGTAAAAGATTAAGATCTTAACTCAGCCGGCTCCCTGTGTTGCTTTTCTCTTCTATACTTTTGATCCACAAATCTTTATACACTTGTGATTAATGCTGACTCACTTTCAGAGCTTCGGTAAACGTGCACAAAGTACGGAGAGTAAAAGAAAAGCATTTATACGGCAGCAGGTTTTTGTGACTAAGCTTCAAAGGCATAGATGCTCTAAAGGGCACAGCCTCGTCTCCAGGGACAGAATGGTTGAATCATCGCTAGATCTCCCCTAAGAACCTGATCAGACAGAGCTCACACACTTTCCACATATACCTCTATGATATGGACAGCTGTGCATTATGTAAACATACATGCAGAAACTGAGTTTATGTTTTTTGGAATGCTGTAAAATCTCAAAAACTGTTCAAACATCTCGTATTTACTCTCCAAGAAGGATTTCAAAATGCACAAGGCTTTATGACTTTTTTTTTAAAGAATTAAGCAACAATTTTAGTGTGGGATACAAGGAACTGATAAATAGAACATCTTGACTTTTCTTATAATAGTCTAATCTAAGTTTCATCTCCAGTCGATTTTCTGTACATGTATATCATCAGCCTGCTAAGATTCTCCCCTCCCTGGAAACTAAACCTCTGCTCTTCTATCAGTAGAAAATGTGTGATAAGCACAATGTAATAGATATTTAATTCCAGAGGCAGTCTGAAACTGATTGAGTGGGTTTTCCATTTTTGGTAATTATTCCCCAGAGCCTGATGCAGTGAACCTCGGATCTGCAAAAGTAAGAAGACAGGGGAGGACTTCGCACAGACGATTGCACTAAATGGATAAAAAAAAGTTGCCCGGAATTTCTTTTTTTACCATTTTGTTCCTCTAATGTGAAAAAAAATTGTTTCTGAACAGTCACACCCCTGCTAAATAATTCAACGACATGCAGATTTTAAAATGCTTGTTGTACGAAATGTATGCTACAGCTTCATTTGAGTTTGCTGATGTTTCATCTATAACAGCTGCAAAACACTTCCTCTTTACAGGCAGAAAATTAATTTGGCACACTTTATGTCCTGAAAGGCCATCCTCTGTCTGCACGTCTGTCTGTAGACACTAATCTCCATATCACATGGATTGCATCTAAACTGATCATTAGATTACTGCATACACAGATTAGTGATTCAGCAAGCTGTCATTGCAGGGGAACTGTAGGTTTGGCATGTAATGAAATAACCCGCATGGCTAATTGAAAACTGAGGTTGCAGCATCGTCGTTACCATAACCTTAATTTTCTTTTAAAAAAAACTATCTCAGAAAAAAGCATGGAGTGCCGGCTGCTCACTGTTCCTAAGTAATACAGTGCAATTCAGATCCTCTTCCATCTGTTGCTGCACACTGGTAGTCAGCTGGCTAAAAGAACACTCCTGCACCTATATTTGTTTATAAGAGAAAAAAAAATATCTGTCTATAAATATTTAGAGTCACAAAAACATGGCAGTCAGGAGAAACTAAAGATGCATCACTTATCACTCTTGATAAGATAACAATGTTTTAAAACTGTGGTGACAAATAAGACCAATACCTGCTCTCATCAGTTTTTGATACTCAACAGATTTGATATAGAACAAATATTCAATGCAATAAAACTACCACAAAATCCATTAAATAAAATATTGTCATGCTATATGTGTCAAAATTTACATAACTATAAAAGAATGTTACAGATAAACCCATTTTAGTAATATTAGTCAATGTGCTGAATTCCATTGACAGTGTTAGGAATAACTTTTTTTCATTTTAAAAATAATTACATTGTGTTATAACATTTTTGCTTAACCAGTTTAATCCCAAATTATATCCTGAAAATAATTGCATGCATTTCAATCCTTGGACCTTCCTAGCACATGATATTTATGAATTACTGTATTTTTTGTTGATTATGTTAGTGAAAATGTAGGTTTTGTCCTCTACAACAATTGTTGCCGGTGGGAAACTGCATAGCCTGAATAATACAAATATGGCCTATCTAAAAAAGAAGAAAAATAATGACATGTATAACCCATTATAATAAAGAATGGTTACAAGAGTGTTCAGAAATATTTTAGATACATAAAAATTCAATACTACATCCTGCAGATGTCATTGTCTCAATGAACCAATTGACCTTTAACCTCATTTGGTAATTTCATCAAAGAGGCAAAATCAGATAAAAATGTCATTATGAACAAATGGGAGGAAATTGTCCCTGTTGCACCAGACCAAGCACTAAACCTTGGCTCTGTCCTAAACTCGTTTCAGGCGTGGCATCAGCCTTTTGTAGTCGTCATTCAGTGCATAGGCTGCACTGTGTGTAAAGGATTGCCTTTGGGGGGGTTGGAGAGGGGAGGCTTTCAACTGTGGAAATGACAGTGACGTAGAAGACATCATTTTGAGGTTCCTTCAGGTCTAGAAGATCTAATATGCCTGATAGTTTTAAGCTGTGTTCAAACAGCAAGGCATACAGAATAAACAGCAAAGCTATGGACAATAGCATAGTGCTATCTATGTATTCTGCTGGTGGCAACAATTGTTGCCATGCTTACATTCACCCTTCTTATGATCAAAAGATGAATGAAGGGATGACATTTTCTTTATGCATCAGTTGAAAGAACATAAGTTCAAAATATTTTATTTATAATTTTTTATTAAAGTAGCCTATTTTACTGACTTCCTCTTATACGGGTTTGACAAGTTTGAAATTGATATTGCTGAGAGTAGACACATTATTATTTCATTTTAAAACTTCAATTAGCTGCCAAAAGTCAAAACTATTATTTGAGAGCTCAGTTAGAAAAAATGTCAGGCAACAATTGTTGCCAGTGGGATTAAATGGGTTAAAATGTTAGTTTTGTAAATGTCAGTAATTTGAAGTATAGAACCCAATAATTTGAGAGCTCGCCACATCCACTTAAGATCCTCTTTTTTTATCTGAATCATTTTTGATAAATATAACATAACTTTTATAGTTGTCACGTGAGCAAAAATAAATAAATAAAAATGTAATTGTCTGTGACAATATATGTAAATTCAAGTTCTCTTGGTGCATCCACTCCAGCAGGTGGATGCACCAAGAGGTGTTTTGCAGTTTGTTTCTGGCTTATGCTTATGCTGGTTGTGAATAAAAATTGCAATATTTTAAAGCTATTCCTTAGTGACCAGCTGGATAGTAATGTGCACAGTGACACTGAAGTGGCTATATAAGTGATTTAAAGTACTTTCCTCCTTGGCTTATTGTCTTTGAATGAAAATTTTGTCATCACTCGGAGTCTTTCCAAAAAGACTGTAATTGCTCATCAGTTCATCAGTTTTTTTGTCCTGCAGCTGAGTTGAATTATCTGAGAATAACTCTGCATGGCGCATGGCAGGACTTGTAAGAGCAAGGTTATATTTTAGCCAGAAACTTTCTTTTAAAAAACCACCAAAGAGTAAGTCAAGATGCACGTTATATTTTTCATGTAAGTGCAATGAGCGTACAAAGTATGCATGGGAGATATTAAATATATATTGTTTTTGGTAGGCAGAATAACATTTGAACTTATCTGGAAAAAAACATAATTGATACTCAAAGTAGTTGTCTACATTTACACAAAATATTGCTGATTTCAACATTTGATTTTTTTTAAAAAGTCTGTTTTAATATCAGGCCAGATTGGGATTGATTTGCATATTACTTGTTCCTGCCACACTACCAGTAACAGCTAAATTCCGTTGATTTCTCACAGTGGACATCACAGTCTGTCCCTTTTTGCTGCACAACTGCATTTGTCTAATTTTTTGTGGACAAAAATAACTCTCCATTTTGTTTCTGCATAACAACAAAAGACAAAATTAGCTTTTTAAAAAAAAAAAAAAAAGAAGAAATCTGTTTAAAAGTTGTTAGTAAGATTATCTTTGATTTTAGATTCAAACTGTGTAATAGTTCTGTGAGGGACTGTTCTCTTGTCACATAACAGGTCAAAATGCAGAATGTGGAAACTGTTTTCAGTTGTTTTTGTGACGTCTGTTGTGCTGCCACTTCATAATTTCACAGTTAGTTCGTAAAAATAATCATAAATCCATCAAATCATTTGGAAAAATGATCACTTCGTAAAATGAATATGTTAAATGCAACATTCATAACTTTAGAATACATTTTAAAATGAAGTATATTTGGAAAAGTATGAATGAAATGAATTTTCCCTAAAAAATATGCACATAAAAATGTTTTGGCCTGTGCAGTTGCTCATGATGCTCGACTGATTGGTGCATCTCCAGTGTTCATTATATTTTACTCTCATGAAATAGTCGCAGGCACAGCTTATTTGTCAAAGGAATTTCTTATAAGAATGCTCACAGGAATCGTTGTTCATATAATTGTTTAACGTCTAGTATGTTGCTTTTTGCAGCCATCGTTGTTATAGAATACCTGAATTTTAAGTCATAGGCGTTGCCAACCCTCTTTAGTGCCCCAGTGAAACTCTTTTGTTGAAATTCCTGATCGAATTTCAACATAAAAGGTGTGACTGTTGAACAACAAAGTAGTAAAAGATTCCCTTTGGAATACAACCACTGCATGAGTCTAAGATTTCAAAAGAAAGTCAACATAACTGCAGAGACATTTAAAGGAACAGATAAAGAGAATGAGGCACAGAACTGATTGTTGAGAATTGTTGCAGATGAATAAAGTAAAGGCCAGACATTTGGGAAATTACAAATTTCTCTATGGGAATGAGATTTATTTGAAAATAAATGTTTGAGTCCTCAGGAGACTTTGAATCTAAGGAGAAACTTCAAGAGAAATACTCTTTTTGAGGGGGACAGTATAAAGTAGACATATGGAACTGTTCCTCTTCTTCAGGTCCTTGGCCCAAGGATGGCTTTATATTTATCAACGCCATTGTTTGAAACCTTTTTTGTGCTTCACTCCATTGAGCCCCACAGCTAGATTTATTTGAGTGGTTGAGAGTTTGAGTGGACAGAACTCACCTGCAGTTCACACCAGGCCACCTCCACCCAGGTGTCCGTGTCCAAACCTTTGTAGACGGTCTTGAAAGATCCTCTCCCCAACTCAATGTCAAACTTCAGAAAGCGTCCTCCGGGGGAGGTGGACACAGCCTTCATCCCGGGCTCCTCTTCGTTCTCGTCGCTGCCCGCTTTACTTGTAACATCTGATGGACCCGGGTCCGCTTTGGGCCCCGTCTCCAACCTGTCCCCACGCTCCTCGTCGGCGCTCACGCTTTCCGTGGCGCTGTCCTTCAGCGCCACCTGGCTCTCCGTGCTAGAGGTCTCTGGAAGCAGAGCCCGGGTCCGACTCCGATCCACTATAGTCCGCAGGTCGATGTTGGGCACCGGGCTGCTGCTGACGAGATCCGATGTATCCAGCGGCTGCTCGTCGTGGTCCGACACCCACAGACTCCGGCGGATGAACCTGCGGCGGCCCAACCCCTGGTACTCCGTGGAGGGGTAGGAGCTGGGGTCGCTGGCCCCGCGGAGCGCTGCGTTCTGGATGTTGACATTGTGGTCCATCCCATTCTCATACACATGCCTGCACGCGTTCGCGTTAATGTCCGAGTCCAGGTTAGGAGCTGAGGAAAACGTGGATCCCAGCGGCGGATCTTTGCTGGGAATGTCAGCTGAATTCATCCCCCCTTAGATTGTCAAGACACCAACCGGCGACATGGTGCAGGAAGGGCTGGGGAGCATGCTCCTCTCCCGACTACGTAGGGGAGTTTGCAGCCTACCTGCACTTGCAGTGACGCAGTTGGCCAGCGCAGCTCAGGATGAGTGGCCTAATGTCTTGAATTTGTTCAGGACGTAGCTCGTTCTCCCGAAGGCGTCCAGGTCGGAGGATGCACGCATTGCTCCACGCCACCTCAAGCCCGAACCACCTCACTGCAACACTTCAGCCTGATGTCGTCGCCGGCCGGAGCTCACTGAATCCCCTTCATCCACCTTGCATCAGATTCCCGCTGCAAATAAAATACGTTCCTCAAGCAAATCCTCCCCGGCCTATAGAGCAGGATGTGGAAACTGTGCCACGCACCAGCCGCTCCGAAGACACATCACGGGACAGAGAATGTGCGCAGCGGTCTGTCCTCCCTCTCCCCATCCCGCACTCTGACTCACTGAGATCAACGGCTGACGCGATTCTGCTCCGACAAGTGAGAGCTGAGCCTAATTCTCAGGAAAACAATCCGCACGCACTACCCCTTCACCCCCCTCTCTCCCTTCACAGCCGTCCTGCAGCAGAGTAGCGGATGGAGAGAAGCGCTTATGAGATTATGCTCACTGCGGCACAGGTCGGATCAGGCAGCTGTCCGCGCATCTCTGGACCAGCTGATGTTGCCACCCTCGTCTTCCCGAGTTCATCCTCCTATTCTCTTGCTTTCTTTCTTCAAAGGTTTGGGGAGGACTCAGTTGCACGACGCAACTCACGCCCCTAGCAACAACACGCATCCAATAACTCGGCACGCTTTTAGCCAGCACCCTTACCCTCCTCTGCTGAGAGGAGGGTAAGTGGACCGCACAACTGTCCGCCCTCTTTGTGACGCGAAAAGCCTCCAAAGGGAGGATGATTAAAAGGCAAACAATAGGGATGGCATGGCCTAATAATAATATAGTCTCTAGAAAGTCTTTAAAGTATTCAAATTTCTTGAATTTAAATATTTTTGTCACATTGCCGCTCTGCACCTCAAAGTGTTTTCTTGGAACTTTGTGACTGACAAAACCAAAGTTTGCAGCTTTAAAAGAAACTGCAGATCAATGAATCTGCAGGTCAAGCAAAACCTGTCAAGACTTGACAAGGAGGGACTTAATCAACCAGGGAGCCAAAACCCAGACTCTGGAGGAGCCACACTGAGTCACAACTCAGGTGGGAAAATCTGTCTACAGGACATCGTAAACAGTCAACATCGTAAATAAGTCTTCAGTAACCATTCCTTGCACAGGTCATAATAAGACAATACCATTTCTACATTTTAGTTTCTGATAAAGCACATTTTTGTTTCTATCAGAAGCAATAAAACTATTAAAATTTTTTTTAAAAATAGATTCTTGAAACATATATAGCTATGTGTAATTCAGGGGTACTCAAACTGTTCAAGACCAAGATCTACTTTTTTTCTCTCACCAGCCAGCTGAGATCTACCTCATGACACGAAGACATAAAAATTGTAACTTAAATCCTATTGACTCATTTTCTATATGAATATACATCAGTTATATCAGAAATGATAAAGTGATAGAAAACCGAATGCGGTCTCTTCCTCAGTGAGATTCTGACACTGGGAGCAGGTTACTGCTTTCAGTCAGAAGCTGTAAGCTGCAGGCCTGCAGGTGTCAATCAGTTATGGTAGATCTGAACTTTGGTTTGATGACGTCAATCTGAGAAACTGCAGACTGATAGGAGGAACCAAAGAGCTCTGCAAAGGTAAAGGCAAATCTTCTGAATTTGGGATATAATTAATTTAATTTCACATAATTATCGCAGTAGACGCCACTTGTTTGTCAAACCTTAATCAAATATATTTGTCCTTGTGACGTTTACTGCAAACGAAGGAAGCAATTCGCCCAAGTCTGCCGTTTATTGATCGTTCAGAAACGCCAGCGGCTGTGATGAACCACAGCAAAGGTAAACAACAATAAAATAACCCGAACAGGTGATCAACTCAGAACCTGTCGCACCTTTCAACTCTCTTTCTCTCTTTACCGTTAAAAACCAGTTGGCGTGGCAACCGCCTGCGCCCCTCAAGCCGAGCAGAGATTACGTTAAAAACATTTGCGTTACGACATCAGGTTTCCAGGCTTGATATTCAGTTATCGATTATTAATGAGCCTCTCATGAACACAGAGGTAGTTTTTAGCTGATTTAAACTCCTGCTCTGCTAGTCAGTCGGTCTTTGAGTCGCTTTTTTTTATTTGTTAATGGATCTGGAACGCAACATAATATTTACTGAGAATATTAATTTTAACACGTTTTGTTGATTTTTTTTTATTGTTCTTTAATGAAGCTACAAACGTTTTGGATCTTAGTGAATATTTTAATAAGCCTGTCAGAAGAGGAAGTTCTGGTTTCAGCGTCCTGGCCGCACCTGCTGCCGAGATCCACTCAAAACCTTCCCGCGATCCACGTATTGATCACCCCTGGTGTAGGCTAATGTATAATCTGAATTGAACATGCCCTTCATTTCAAAATATATATCTACTTTTGTAATACCGCAGATGTAACGCTAGATGTCAGTAAAACCCCGCCCGAAATCATCCAGCAAAGTTCCCAATGAGTAATCCACGCTTTGTCCGGCCTCTAAAACATTACGTTAGCATCTTATTTGTGGACCATGTCTGAAAGTATCCTATAAAAAATGCCGTCAGGAAGTTGTCACTTCTGAAAGCAGCACACAGCTTTCTGAGAACCGCCGCCCCGCGTTGTGTTGGAGGGCTGGCTCAATCAACAACTGCCATCTCCCATCTTCCTCAAAGCAGCGGGGCATTTTAGAAGGAGACCAGCCGAGACTTTGTGCCCGAACCCACGGAGACCCACTGAGCGAAGCCCATGACCGACGTTTTCTGTCAGGATACAGAGATACGGCATGGCTACTGACAGCATAGCAATGAACGGAGATGCTGACCGAAGCGACGAGGCGGAGGTAAGGCACCCTGTTGTTGCAGGGCAGTAAATATCTCCATGTTCAATTCAGCCAATGTTCTGTTCCGTGAATCATTAAAAAAATACAAAACGGGATGTTGGTCGTTTTACAGATAAAAATGTGACTTTGGGAGAGGTTTCTCCTCATCCTTCGTCAGTCCGGTCAAGCTTGATGCTATAGAGAAATGAAAACAAGATTAATTTAAAGTATTTTGAGTAGGAAACAAAATTTAGAGTTTAGAATGTCAAAGCAGCAATTGTACGCGTTTTCGATTTTTTTCGTAGTCATGTTTCAGGGTGGTTTAACTTCCTTTCTCTGCTCTGTTGAGGATCAAATTACACTTAATGACAGATGAGACGGGCCACTGTGTCTGCAGTGCGCAGTCACCACTCTGAGAGGGATCAGGTGGGTTAAACAGTGATCCAACCAACTTAACCCCCATCCACTGACCCAAATCTGGAAAAATGTGACTTTTCAACAAAACATCTTTGTTATGAAAGAATGTAAACTTATCCTGACTTTGGACTCCGTGTTACCTTTTTGTAAATGGTCTTTATTTATAAAGTAAGTTTGATCAAAAAGCTTATTTGTATATATATATATATACTTCTTTGAAACTTTACTTTATAGTTTCATAGTTTCTTTTAAGCTCAACTTCTTTCCCTTTTTTCATTTCTACTATAAAATGTCTGAAACAAGTTTCATGCACATTTTTCTTCTGGTAAGTATTTCCTACTAATCCTTCCAGACCTTCCAGTCCACTGAGCTTAAACATTAGCATTTGCTAATGTTTGACTAATATTGTAGCAAAGTTTTCTCCAGTTGGTTTTAAATATTTAATTGGAGGGTGAAGAAAACAGAAACTAGAAGGGAAAACCTGAAAAGGAGGTTTAATTAAAATATAGAAAAAAGGCCACAACGATGTGATTGACATTAATGTGGGATTAATTCTGGAAACCGAAGCAGCCAACATTTAAATGCAGATGCAGAGTATTTCACATGAAATAAAACATGCCCCATAAAATCCAACTAAAATAGCTCCATTGTGCTAAACTGATGTAACCATAATTGCAGCAGGGGAATTATTATCCGTTTATAGCATTTTGGCCTTTCATACTCTGCGAAAAATGTAAGGTCACAGATGACTAAAAGCTTTTTTGTTTTCCATTATAAAGGGGTGTTTTCTTCTCATGATGAGTTCGTGAGAAGAAATAAGTTTCTAATAATGATAAGTGTGATCCGACAGGACGGTAATTCCAGACAGATGAGGGAGTACAGATGGAAAAAGAGTGGAGACGGTTCTCACTGATACCTGAATGTGGTGAATTTCAGCAGTGAAAGCAGCAGTAAATAACGAGTTTCACATTTTGTAGGTCAGCACTTGCCAAAAAAGCACATTTATAAGACGATCTTGTAAAACAAAAAAGAAAAAAATATTTAAGTCTGAGTTGGGGACTGAAGTGGAAAAATTCTTTAAAAACTTGTTTTTATGGACGTGTCTGTTTTATGTCCTTCACCAATATAGGTGTAAGTGGTTTTCTAAGGACACAGTGCATGTGTATTTGAAAGGTCAGATGACGTAGGTGGTAACCGCAGTTGTTTTTTTATTTTTTATTACTGACAGAAGTAAACCCACTGGTACTTTCTTTTCTAACATGTATATGTATGTGTACGTGTATCAGAACAGGATGTGGTTTTAACTGAAGTGTATGAGATTTGTATGCAGCTGTACATTGTGGCTCTGCTCTTCTCTGCTGGTCTAGCTTCAGTGACAGAGATTCAGGCCTTCAAAATGAAACATTATTATTATTTTAAACTTTTATTCCACATCTTATTGTTGTAATGTTTATTTTGTTCTTCCTATGTGTCCCTTTCCTAACTTCTTTCTTTCTAGCTGTACTTCTTCCTTTCTTCCTTCCTTCCTTTTTTTGTTTATTTCTTTCTTTGATTTCCAGTTCTACTTTCTTTTTCCGGTTCCATACTTAAAGCCTGACCACTGTGTGTATCTACCATAAAGTTATAGTAAGTATTTTATGTTTTAAAATGAAGATAAAGGACTGAGAACTTAAAAATGTACAGTTCTTACATAAAAACAGAAGTCAGCCCAGACATGAATAGCAATTATAATTTGCTTATGTTCTCTAATGTCAGGTTTGGACCCTCTTTGTGGGTCCTGAAACACACAAGACATCCCTCTCGTACAATAATAACATTATGGTTGAAAGGACATTGAGCAGTCACATTGCCAGTGTTTACTTAATGAATGTTTGCACTCTGAGACCCAATCAGAAGTCTCTGTAACGGTTAGTCTGCAGGCTGGAAGTTGAAATCCTGATTAACTACTGCTTTTTAGAATATTTAGGCTAATGAAGCCAATCAGAATCTCTGAAGTATTAATAAAAACTTTGTGCTTGATAGTGGGAAAGCCTGCATGTGTACTGGTAACCTTTCAGAAGGAAAGAGTGATTATATCTGGTGGCAGGTTGTGGCCCTCATTACAACCTTTATTGGTTTACCACAGAAGCATCTTTTTTTTCTTCTTCTGTGGGCTGACATAGTTGTTACAGCTGCAGAAAGAGGAATAGAGGTAAACCTCAGACGTTCAGAGGGTGATGTTGCCAATCTGGGTACAACGAGGACAGTGTTAGGTAACTAAATGTTGCTCCACCCAAATAAAAACTGAACTGACGCTACTGAAATACAGCATTATATCAGGGGTGTTTATGAAGTGTTTGATATGTGCTTATTCATCTGTATCTGAGGTATCAAGCCTTTCAAATAAAGTACATCCATGACCTCTTCAGTGACCTCCCATAGCTTTGTTTGACCTGTTACTGAGCCATGTTTATGACCTTCTCAGTGCTGCTTTTCAGCAAAAGAGATGTTTCACTTCTGTTAAGTTGTTCTGCTGCAAACAAAACTTCAGGAAGTGTCCGATTCAGATTTTTTTTCTTTACAGTTACACCCATCGACCTTGTTCATTTTCTTTTCTCTCTAAAGAGTTTGATTTAATTTACAAAAAAACAAAACAAACCTAAAGTCTTGATAATCACATGTTTGCATCTACACTCACATAGAAACAACCTACATTTCTATGTGTTGTGAGAAGTTAACTAACTTTGTGCTCAGACACACTTCTTCCTCTGGCCAGTTATGTTTCCTCATGAAAAAAAAGAAGATCAGTAATTTTTGGATGAAAGTAAATTTCCAGTATGATGTAAAATTTTCCAGATAAAATAACTTCTTAAGCATCAATTTTTCACAAGTAGGAGTAAAAGTGAAACCTTAGCAATGCGTTAAGGGTAAAGTCCAACATTTCTTAAGGGCTCATCTAGAGCAAGGTTGAACTGAAATCTGCACAGATAACTAATCAGTTTGTATTCATGTTGAAAATCATTTGCTAATAAAATGGGAAAAGAATTATGGAAGCCCAAATCTGATGTCAGGGTTTGCGTTCGTTTTCAGGTCATTCGTCGGGAAAACAGCATCACATGGCGGCGGCGGCGCGGACCCCTTAACATGAACCATTATGCTAACAAGAAGAGCGCAGCAGAGAGCATGCTGGATGTGGCTCTGCTGATGGCAAACGCCTCGCAGCTGAAGGCCGTTCTCGAGCACGGACCGAGCTTCACCTTCTACGTTCCCCTCATCACTCTCCTCAGCATCTCTCTCATCTTACAGATAGTGGTGGGAGTTATGCTCATCTTTATCGGTAAGCTGGAGATTTTTGTTGTTTGTTTTCATTTAATCAAGTTGTCATTAGATATATTTCTCTTTATCAATTGAAGAGGTTTATAACATACATGGCTCTGAAAATGTATGTGCCGCTATACATTTTTTGCTTTTCCTTTCAACAAACATTTTAATGTCAGACAAAGTTAGCTTGATTAAAGCTAAAAAGACAGTTTTCCGAGGACGGATCGCTTAAAGTCACAGCATCTCAATTAAATCCAAGTCTGAACTTTGACTAGGTCACTCCAACACTTCATGGTGTTTTTTTAAGCAATTCAGAGGGTGACATGCCTATGTGATTTGGGAAACCATCATGCTCTACAACCCAAGTCTGCTAGCACTTAAGGTCACAAACTGAAGCCCAGACCCTGTCTGTCCTTTAGGATTTATGTTTCTATCAATTACAGCAACTTCTCCAGGTTCAAAAGAAGCAAATCATCCCCAAACCATCACGCCACCACTATTGACTATTGAAGTGAACTGATTTGGAAACTGAATTTTACATTTATTCTAGTTAACATCTAAAATCAAAAAACTGTTTTAAGAACTAAATGATATGATGAAGAAAATTAAAAGTACAACAGAAAAAAAATGTGTAGCAACAAAGAGAGGTTTATCCTCAAACCTAAAAACACAAAAAATCTTAAACAACAAATTAAAAATTGTGGAATAAATGTAATCAGTAAATGAAAGATTGCTTGGAACATATGTTTTTATTAACAACTTAATAAGGAATTTGGGTTGAAATAGAGATAACCTGAGCGGTTATGTCCAGAGAATTAAGCTAAGTAAATATAGTTTACCACCAGGCATGAGCCAGTAGGAAATTCTTACATTTTGACTAAAAATATCACAGTTTGAATGTTTCACATTATTCCCACAAAATGTGTATAAATGCTTTTATTTGAAAAAGAGAAGCAAAAATTATTCTTAATTCTAAATGTTGGTCAGTCCTGAAATTAAATGTATTAATTGCTACAGCAGTTAAGTTAAAAAAGTTATCCATTGCTATTTTTGACTGCAATACATAAATTAAAGCAAATATACAGAAGAGACACCTGCTAAACTTTGCAGTTGTTTCCAAGAACTTAATACATAATTTACCTTTTAGCTCTTTTGTTCTTTAGAGTATGAATCATAGGACAACGTGTTGATATGAGCGGGTTAATTGGTAAGGCTGTCTGCTCCTGTATACAGCCTCATAAACATGCTCCTAAGCATTGATTTTATGTAATATTTTCAAGTTTGTGTGACACTGAAGTTTAGATTTAAATTTGCTATAAGTCATAGTCATCAAAATAACAAGAAAGGAAGCAATGACATGTTACACTCAATTTTTTATGATTATAAAATAATGTAAGTTTAACTTTCTGAAGTCACAATAAGTTTTTGAGCAGTACATACAGAGCCGGTTTTATTTAGTTAATGTTATGACTGATCTTATTATTCACAAATACCACTGTGTAAATTAATCGATTTCCTTGTTTTAAAGTGAATATTTTTGGCTTGACCAAGCAGTAGAATCAGAAGTGGAAAGTTTTAGTGACTCTGGCCGGTTGTGAACCCACCATGGCCTCTTTCCTTATCTTATCCCTAGAGGAAAAAAAAAATACGATGTTGGGGGAGAGGAAGTGTGTATGGAAACCTAACAGGAAGTGGTCGCCTTCACTGTGAGCTGGTTTGAAAGAATTCTGTTTACTATTGGCTGCATGTAATCACAGGAGACCTGGAGCAGTAAAAGGGAAGTGGAAACACAGGCTCATCCTCTGCTTAAAACGGATCCACATGTTGGATTCCCAGACTAATGCGGCATATCATCAGTCAGATAGTTACTCTCTATTGGCAGAGCTGTCAGATGGTGTTAATGTCCCTTCATGAATGACTACTTCAAAGGTATGAAAGGAAACTGCGTGTCATTGGGTGCTGCCCCCTAGTGGGAAAATGTAGTTTCTCCAGCTCAGTATAAGGAAAATGTTATGCTTATTTATTTATTTATTTTTTTCAGTTAAGTGGAATCTGAACGATGAAAGAATGCATCACAAGCTGGACATCTTGGAAAGCTGTGTCATGGCCTTCATCTTTGTCATCGTGGTGGTCAACGTCTTCATCACAGCCTTCGGCGTCCAGCAACCCCACTCAAAAGATTCACCGCCTTCTTGACGTGCTCGTTGCTCATCAAGACATTATGATATTTTATTACTTTTTACAAATTAAAAGGCCATTCTGTATAATTGGTTGCTATTGTCTGACTGTCTGTGTTTTGAACAAAAATGAAAAACTTTCTCATCAGTTACTGGTGCAAAATAACGAAAAACACCAAGCACAAAAGACTGTATAAGACACAATCATTGTGACCATTTCCTGTCATGTAAAAATATTTTTCATATCTGTTGTTGTCTGTATGCATGACTGCTGCTGCTTATTATTGACGGATAACCTCAACAAAATTAAAGTAAAATTATTCAAGAAGGCTAAATGCAGCACCGGAGCTTAACTGAAGGAGAGATGTGTTGTTTACAGTTTGAATTTCTTGAATAATGATCTTTATGTGCTTTTTGAAGTGCTATGCAGAATGCAATATTTTTGACTGTCTTCCATACATTAGGTAAACTTTTCAGTGTCAAATCAGTGGAAGAGGCCTGTGAGTACAACCTCCGGTTGAGGAAACAATGTCCTGCCTTTTATTTGTTTTTAAGTACTCGTTTTATCTCTTTTAACAGGTATTGCAGACATAAAGTAATATATTTGTTATTTAGTTTTTGAAGAGAATCTCAAGATCCTACACTTACTGATTGGGAACCTGGTTAAAAAAATAATTTGAGTTTATTTACATCGTTGTGCGGTTGCTTTGACTAAATGTTTTATTTACTTTTTTTAAACAAACAAAAAAACAAGAATATTTTACAGCTTTAAGTACTTCTATACACTGTGACTGCTCATGTTCTATATTTTTAAATAAAACTAGAAAAGTTTTATTTTCTCTCCATTGCTTTTATTTATAAAACAAATCAGAGCTTGTACAAATGATAGTACTTGCAAAAGTAAGGCATTTCTCCAGTAGACACATCAGTGAATACACAAGATAAAATTTAGCATTTTTCTTAAAGAAAATATTATGTCAAAATTGAGGCCACTCTCGAGCATTAGTTTTCAAAGACCCTCTCAATGGCTTTAATTTATTTAAAAAAAAAAGAACCAAACCATGTAAATAGATAACATGATTGTAATTCATTTCTGCATCCTTAAATGTTTTGCAGTGTGACCTATTTCACACAAAAATATATCACATATATCTATAGGTTAGGAAAATGTTGCATGAATAGCAGTAATCCACCTCTTAAATCAGGCTTGAATAATACAGGAAGGGTTTGGAGCTTCATTATAAGCACAACTACAGTTTCCCTTGAGAGCTATATCACAGTGGACCAACAGGAAAAGTAAAAAATTTCCACTCTGTCTGTGAAACAAAGACAAGGGAAATCAGACAAGGGCACTTCCTTTCTACAGTTACACATTGCATACAGGAAACATGATTCTACCCTTTTGAATATGGATGTTTTAAATAAGCAGAGAAAATTCTATCTGGTGACAAAAGAATAAAAAAAACTTGGTTAGAGATGCCACGAAGTAGGTGGCAATGCCTTAACCGTATATGTGTTGCTGGCCACAAGGGCCAATTCCATCCTTGTCAAGGGGAGTGCTAACCTTCTCTCCTTTCATACAACACACTGACTACCGGGTTTCCCGTCACTATATGTAGACCGACCTCCACCGTCAGTTTCACTGACGGTTCCGTTTACCGGGATGAGACGATTGTAAAGTTGTATTAGTTTATAGAAAGATTCAAACAAAATCAAGATAATTAACAACACATTTCATAATTTTATTTATTTATTTTTATCATTTTTTTCTAGTAACAACTATAACCATAATGCACTGCGTTTGAAAGCGAGATATTATTGGCGGAGCGTATCACGTGATAACTATTCACGCTTTTACCACATTATTAGTTTAGTAAATACTTCTAGCAATATCTGGAGGTATTTAGATTTTCACGCTTTAATTTTTGTTTGCTTGAATATAAGAAACAATTTTTAAAGACTCTATGAAAATCAATACAAAGTTAATAACGTAGTTTCCTTCATGTCCACAAGATGGTAATGGCGGTACGGAAACAGGTTTGTGACCATCTGTTTCTACTTGGCTTTATGTTGTTCATAAAAGCTTTACTCCAATTTCAGCATTTCTTACATATGGTGCCTGGCAAAAGTATCCATGCTACTTGAACTATTCCACATCTTTTTCATGCTACGACCACAGACTTTTTTTTCTTTTCCACCTGTGTGTAATTTAATTTCTATGAACACAGCTGTCCTGTGAAGGTTTTACGGTATTGTTAGAGAACATTAATTAACAACCACAGTAAATTTGGTTAGAGATGCCAACCTACATATTTTTTGGCCAACATGCAAAATGTTACCACTATGTCACAACCAACATAGTGGTAGGAGGATACTTTTGTTCAGCAGAAACATGGAAGACGGGTGGAGTCGATGATAGATGGAACAAAAGTCTGGGAGATTGAGGATGAAAACTTGCAAAGGGATGCAAAAGACACTGATCAGAGGTTCATCTTGCAGCAGACACATAAACATACACTTGATAATTTATAGTAAGTCTTACACTTTTATCCCATCTCACACAACTTGAGAAACTTGGCAGAAAAGAATTAGAAAAATATTTCCATGTCTATGTGTGCAAAGCTGACAAAGATTAGATTTTCATTGGTAGAAAAAAGTTGAAAGTCATTATAAATATAATTATAAACTATATTGTTTTAGTCTGTCACACAGAATTCCAATAATATATATTAAAGTTTGTGGTTGTTCTAAAATATAATATTAAAATGTCGTCTCAATGGACTGTAAATTACATACAGAAATACATTGAGTATAGATTAAAACCAACAACCTAACCTAACATTTCATCAGCTAAAAAACAAACAAAACAATGCAGAGGTTGGTGCTTTTATATAAGAATTCATCATACCTTGATAGTTTTTAATTAGCATAAAATTAGCTAAATTTATGTATAAAAATAATTTACATAATTTTTTTGCACAGTATTACCCTGATGTGTATTAATCCCTAAATCACTTAGCAATATATAAAGTGTGACCTAAGTGTCAAATGTGTCTCCCCTTGTCATTCAGATCAGTAGCACAAATAATACATACTTTGCATAGTTCATAATGTGTACAAAATAAAAAAAAAAACAAATATTTTTTGCAGTGTCAGAAATTCTAACGCACCATGTATAGAGATGACCCTTATTACTTCATTATGTCCTCTTCGGCGTACCAAATAAGGACCTCTTGCGCTTTTCTCTTCAAACCGAGGGCGGCCAATCCAAGAGCCCGGCTGCCTCCCGAAACTTTCGCTTCTACAAGCAAAAAAATGCACTTTCTTAACATCAAATCAGTTGTATAACTGGTCATATTAAACATTTTAACTGAAAATAAAATTACCGCCATAATAATAGAGAAAAGCTATTCCCACAGCAAAGCCGAAACAGCCTAGGAAAAAGAGAGGACCTGCAAAGTGTACATAGAACACAGAGGTCAGTATTTGGTCAGGTTCTTTCCATGTTAGATAACATATTATATAAATAATACACTCATTACATTATTAAGAGTTGTTTTACTCTTAAGTTTCTTGACATCTTAAAACAAAGGCAGTAAAAAAAAAAATATATATATATATATATATATATATATATATATATATATATATATATATATATATATATATATATATATATCATTATAAATAAGTAAAATATTTATCAGTCTATAAAATAACTTTTCCAGAAACAAACAGCTTCAGACATTATATTATTCTTCAGAAAATTTTTAAAAAGGGCTGAAAGCCATCAGTATGTAGAATAGTAGGTCCTCATAATGTCACAAGGCATAAAGAAATAAAAATGACTTGGGTGATAAAATATGAAGTTATAAAATGTAGCTGCAGCAAATGCTTGTAAAGCGGAATCCTTGTGTCTCCCAACAACAGTGCTTACGCAAACTGAAAATGCTACCAACCGAAACACAGAAAGAAAACCTGCATAGGTGTCACATTACCTCTGTCGTTTAGAACGTTTCTCTGCGAGTAGATCTGTGGACTTGGGAGTGGATTCAAAGAATCTGGGATTTGGATGGAACAAAATATTAAAATGTCTCAACAAATATTTTTGAAACATCTAAATCACTAACTGACATATGACCACGATAAAATTGTTTTGACAAACCTCTGAGGCGTAGCCGTGTTGGCAAGCTGTAGTATACCTCCTCCACATGGAGGTGGAGCGCTCTGTAAAACTCCCTGCAGGCTTCATCGCCTTTCCCCTGGAGATGTGTAAGCAGCTCACCCAGGCGAACGCCTGTTGGTACGTCCAAATTTCTGAACTGATAAACAAATGCACATACTTTTTCTCAGTCATAATCAAACTGTAGTTTGTGGGCTTTTGTCATGTTTTAAATATCTGTCGAAGGCCTTAAAATAATCACTAAATACCAGTTTTACACAAGCGTATATTAGACATGGCACAGACTCACATTTCTTTACTCCCTCTTCTTCGAAATGGAAAACACAACATGCCATCAAGTGAAGCAGAACATGAAATGCCTGCATTAATTTAGTTAAAGGCCTTATCATGCCTATACCTACAGCCAGAGCAATACTTTTAAAAAAGTTTGAAACAACTTTATTGCCACCAGGCACAGTTAGCAGGATAGAGAAGTCAAATAAACCACTGAAGTGAGGCAAGGATTGGCATTTTGGGGTCTCCCAGTTGCAGTAACAACCAACTACTTTAAGGATTTTGTGCAAGCAGCCTGATGTGATTGAGGCAGTGAATGCAGCAGTGGCACTTACTCTCGTGGCCTCCTTGTCGGTGAGGATCTGCGGGTAGATTCTGTTGAGCTGCAGGATGAGTTTGTCCACCAGCTCTGTGTCCAGTCTCTGCTCAGCTCTGAGGAAGGCGGTGTCCTCCAACAGCTGCTCGCGAAAACTGTCTGTCACCAGCAGAGACACATAAAATAACCCTTCAGCTGTCAGATAGTGCACCCAGCGTTCAATGGGAAAAAATAAATAAAAGAGATTACATTTGATCATTTTCGAAAGCGTTTTTGTAGCGCGTAAAAGTTTCGTAGTGTATATGAAAACCTGCCGAATTAAATAAAAAGTTCATATGTCAGCTCCAATTATGTCAAATGGGCATTTAGATAACTTTTCAGAAACCAAAACATTGACAGCAAAACACTGACGCCGTCTTTGACCGAGCGAGACGACGATGCTGCTGGTGCGGTAATGGCCGCCATATGTACCGTGACGGACAGGGTACGACATTGCAGACGGGAAGATTCGTGGTAAAATTAACTTTTATTTCATTTTATTAGTCAAACAAAGGCACGAACCTCCCATTGTGGAACGAGTCCCCTTTCTGTCCTCTGTTTGGACACACCCTCTGACGTCATCACGTCGCTAAAGCTGGACCGAACGTCAACGTTCTCCAAAAAAGGGAGACCATTTTCAGCACAACAGCCAGATGGGGGAAACAGTTCTGTATGTTTCTGTAGGCATTTAGTTTTCAAATTAAGCGCATATTCATTTGTTTTTTTTTTGAGAAACCTAATCATAATTGTCAATAAATTTTAAATACATTTTAATTTAGCAGTACTTGACTTTCCTTCATCTTGGGATGGCTATTCGGTAAATATTTATATAAGTTTTTATTGTTTCATTATCTGATTCTATCAGTAGGACTTTTAAAGCAAACCAAGTAAAGTACAAACACTCCTTTGAAATACTCCACTTTTTCAGCTGGTCAGTTCTTAGCACTTGTTGATGTGTAGTATAAAGTCAGTGTAAATTTCAAAAAGCCTCTAGATTTTAATGATTTCATGATGGGGCAAAACAGACAATTGTCAAGTGGAAGACAACAAATGCATGCTTTTTTTATATTGCAATGTACATTTTTACATCCTGTTTGTGGAACCACATATTTTGGACAAGAGCTGCATCAGCTTCATTCATCTAGAGTCTGAAAGATGTTCATATTCTTTCCTTCAAAAAGGCTCAAGTATTATAAGATTTTCCATGGACTCTAAACTGGATTTAGGCCATTAGAACATATCTAGATCCAAACCATCATTTGTAAAGGTTTTTTTTTTTCTTGAATTGCCCTTATTATCGCTCTGTAGTTTCTCTGACAAAAAAAAGTGATCCCACAACCTAATACTGCCACTGCCATGTCTCACCTTTGGCATAGAATGCCTTGAGAAGGATTTCATACCCTTTGAACTTCATATTTTGTCACACTACAAACAACTGTGAATGCATTTTACATGTATTGAAAGCAATATACCAACACGAAGCAGTACAAAATTATAAAGTGAAGAGAAAATGATACAGAATTTAAAATTTCCTTCGACAACTAAATACACGATAGCTTTCACGGAAAATATATTTGATGAAATTACACCCAGGGACAGCATAAGATGGGATGAAATGCAAATTTACATAACACACATCAAATTTCTTTTTGGGGAAAACAAAATATTTATCGGTTTATAATATGAAGCACTAATAAAACAAACATTTTTGGTTGTAACAAAAGGAAAATAGATGATTAAACTTCAAAGGGCATGAATACTTTGGCTTGGCTGCATATCCACATTGTAGGAATGAACTTTAAAAGTCGCAGAAAATTTTCAGTACTAAAGTCTGAAATAAACACAAAAACTCCTCAGAGCTGTGAAAGTCAGGTTTATTTCTTCACCAGCTATAACTGGAGGTAGTAACAGAAGCCAACAAACAAACTTTGCTAGTACGTTTTTGTCTTAAACAAGAGCTCATTCATCATTACTTTGTAACCAGGCAGCTAAATCTGAACTCCCTCCTTTACCAAAACAATGAATCCTGTTATCTGAGTAGACACAAATAAATACAATTGCAGTCATAATAAAACATGTAAAAATTAATACTTTTAAAAAGCACAAACACTTATTTTTTATTCAGCCAGGATTGCAAATTGCACTTGTACAAACAAAACACACAATGGCACTGCACTTGATACTGTATGACCAAAATGCAAATACAAAAAGATGTATTAAAAAGTACTTAAAACCTCTTCTTGAATACAATTTGAATGAATACTAGCATGTTTTATTAACTTATAAATTTTTAAATAAATTTGCATTAAAATATTGTTCCTCAGTCATTATGAGTTTACTCATGGATAGGCAAAAAATGGCACAGCTTAATTTTTGCCACAATTCTGCCTGGCTGATTACGAAACCAAATCTACTCTCCACTCTGTCGCCCTACATTAAAGTTATAACAATACGTAACATTATTTCCTGAAAACGTATACCTGGTCAGCACATTGGTTGCTCCGTTACTGGCTTTGATTAAAAAAAAAAAAAAAAAAAACAGATCAAGATGAAAGAAAGCAGAGTTTGTGAAACTCATCTCTCATTCAAATTTGACCCATTAGGACAGATGGTTTTGTTTTCAAAAACTAATAATCTCCTACTGTCCTGCTAAAAATAAATTAGGTTACAGTATATTCAAAGAACTCAATGTTCGACCAGGGAGCAGGCAGGAAAGCATACATCTCAGTTAAAAATACTGAATAATACAAGCATAATTTAAAGAAGGAATCCGTTAGGAGGAATAAGTAATAAAAAGTGCTCAGTTGTGGTAACAGACAAACGTAATCAGCGAAGAATCCAACTCTGCCCTTCCTCTGGTTCAGCAATCAGTGGTGCATTTAGTTGGAAGACTGATGAAATCCAAAGGGACTGTGATAAAAACTACATTAAGTGTTATGGCACTCTTCTATAAAGTTCTTGGCAAATACTGGTGGTTGAGTTCTTGTCTTTGCACAGATATAACCTGGAGTGTGTCAAAAGTCACACTGACGGACTTTTTTTTTTTTTAAGGTCACTTGTCTTGACGGGTTTACTGCAATGAAAAAGAGAAAATGATCAGTGTTTCAGCTTCTACTAACATATGAAGTTTAAGAATAAAATGGACACTGGAGATATCTGATGCAAACAAATAGGAATGCGAGGAAATAACTGATTACATTACAAAACAAGAGTTACAAGAAGATTTAGGAAACGTATCACTGCATTTTGTAGAACTAGTGATTTCTGTGCAACTACAAGGCTTTCATTTAATATTGGGGATTTAGATTTACCCAAACATTTAGACAACAGTTCAATTTAGCCTGACTTAGTCTGAACATTTAAACTGAAATGGATCAGAACCTGAGTTAAAATAACTCGACTGTTCAGCGTTACTGAGCTAAATGTATTACTGAAAAGTTGCTCTACTTTATCCTTTTTCTTTTTAGAGCAGAAATTTGTCACGGAACATGCTGGGTAAGAAAATAATGTCAATATTTTAGAAATCTATGTAAATCTGTGAAAAAACAAAACACAGTAATGATATGCAAACGGATCATTTCAGTTGTTGATATAACATCCTAAATACAGTTTGCAATGTAAACTATATGTAATTGAAAAGCACCTAAAATAGCTAGTTATATTATAGTTCATATTTCAGTGATTTTTAGTTTTGGCTTTTTCTCTCACTTGATCTCACTGTACATTTGGCTCTTATTTTCAGCTTTAATTTTGTTTTTAACCCTCTTTAAATACATGAGATCAACAATGATTTGACCATTCTTTCCAATTACAGCCTACATTTCTAGCAGATTATATTTTAGAGATAATCTGGAATGGACTAAATGTTAGTCAGAAAATTAGAAGTTGTTTCAAGTATTATAAACTATATAAATGTACATTCAAAAAAAATATTGTTCCTCTGCCTTATAAGTAGATGCTGGATGTTTTCCTAATAAATAGACAAATATTCAAATCCAGCAGATGATTTATAATTGCAGAAAAATATTAGGAACCTGGTGTGTAGAAGTTTTAGCAACAACAAAAATGGTCAGGCTAAAGAAATAACATCTTAAACTCTGGAAATGTAAAAAGCATCTAATTTGCTGTGAGTCCTGCAGTTTACAATCTGACTTACATGGTGGCTGGAGGAAGCTCCCTTGCCCTTTGCTTTACCCTTTCCTCCCGCCGCTGTAGCACTGTTGCGGCGTGCCTGCTCGTGGTCGAACTCCAAGTCCTCGAGGCGCTGAGTTAAAGCCAGTTTCTGCTGAATAGCCATCCGTAACAGTGAGTTCAGCGTCTTCTTCTCGTCCTCGGCTGCAGCGAGCTGCCTCTGCATGTCGTCCAGCTGGGTCACATACTCATCGCATCTGAGAGAGAAGAAGAGGTTCAGAACAACGTAGGAGAGGGGATGAAAGGAAGATGGCCTGGATGCACATTTCTGCCTCTAGGGGGAGTAATGTGGCTGAAGTTTTATTCCCAAGACAACTTTTCCAGATGGAAGGATGGATTTCCTGCAAGCTGAGTCAGTGTTACATCAGACTGCTCCCACAATGCTTTGTGTCTCTATATCTAGAAAGATAAAATAATTATAAAGAAAAAGCTCTGACATTCAGATTTTCTTTAGTTATTTGAACTAGCAACATCAGCTAAATAAAAACTACCATACGTCATCTGCAGCTGCTTTTAAATTTAAAATGCTGACAATATATATGCATGCTGTTGGTAAGTCTTAAGATTTTCCTTCATGTTTGGGTTGAATAGAAAAAGTTACCGGTGCCACTTAAATTAGAATATCTAGAAGTTTATTCATTTATAAAAAGAAAACAAATTTTGTTAATTCTGGAGCCTCTTACACTCCAAATAAAAGGCAAAATTTACTTTAAAAAAGCAAGTCTTTCTTTTTCTCTTCACCGCAAGTCAGACTTAACATCGTTTTTGGTTCATGTGTGGATTAAAACAACGAATGCTACAGTTGTAGCTCATGTCCTGATTTGATTCACAATCAACTCAAAGGTACAGTTATTCCTGTTCCTTGTGCACCTTTTGCCACCCCCGTTTTTTCTTCCACTCAATTTCACATTAATGTACATATATAAAGCTCTCAGAAGACCATGTTTTTTAGCCAAATCTTTTTGTGGCCAACTTTCCTTCCAAGCAAGTCAGAAGTCTACCCCAAATATGTGTAGTCCAGAATATACCTTTCACTTTTCATAAACCTTCTTAAAATTCTAATTTGATGAAAAAGTGAATTTGGGGTTTTCATGCACGCGAAGCCTACGATTATTAACCTTAGCAGACCTACAGAAAACTGTTTCCATATACTACTAAATGTAATAAACCAATATCACAGTTTCAATTTCGGAATGAATTAATGACTTATTAGCTAATTAACTTTTCAATGATATTACCATCTATCTGAGGTACACTATTGTCAAAAGTAAAAGTTTGTCCAATTTGTTTTAGTCTGTTTATTCTTTCTTCTGCTAAAAAGTTGTAAGGATCTTATACCACTGTCTTTGGGTTGCTCAGAATAAAAGCCAGAACAGAAGT